GTCACTAGGCTACTGCGCCAGGCCCGAACCGGCAGATTTCAGATGGCTCTGCCTCTCCGACACAGAAATCAGCCCAGCAGGTCCAGCACTGGATGAGCACACGGAGGTGTGTTCTTGAGGCTGTGTCTTAACGGGGAAGTGGGAGCCGGTGCCACGCACTTCACAGGCAACCGCCAGTCACGAGACGAGGCTGGGCTGAGGCTGTGGTCCTTGGCCTTGACCGTGAAGCCAGGGCTGCAGGCCAACCTTCCTCTAAGACCATAGGCTGTCGTTGAGTCCCCGTGGATTGTATCGTAAATGGATGCTGACAAAATCAGTTGTCACTGGGGGTTTGGCCCTGAAGCCTCAGGCTTGCCTCCTGTTGCCCACCTCCCCACACCCGGCCCCCCCAATGCATCTGAAAAGGCAGTTCCCGTTCAGGCCCCTTCTGTGTCGGACGAAACCCATGTGGGCTCAGGGGCTGGGTCTGTCCTGACCGACACCCCTGGGTCCACACTGTGCTCTCAGCCCCACAAGCCTGGGCCCCCTCACGGCCCGCCACCGGGTGAATAGGTTTGAGAGGCAGGCGGATGTCAAGTGGGGAGCACGTTCCTGGAAAAGTCCCCCCCACACACTCACACACCTGCCAATCAACAGTTCCAGGAGACAGGGAGTAAGGAGAGGGGAGAGGCAAGACGAGGTAGGTGAGACCCCCAGACGGCTCCCTGGCACTCAGTGGCTGGCAGGGTGTAACTGGGTGGGTGGAAGTGGTCATCTGAATGTCCCAGGATTGGCGGGGGGGGGGGGTGGATCTCAGAATCAAACATCCCTCCCCAAGCGTCCCAGCCCAGAGTGACCTGGCCAGGAGCCTTCCAGTTTGGGGGCCCAGGGGTAAAACCTGGTTTGGTGATCTGGGAGCCTAAGAAGGAGAAGTCAGGGGTCATGGGCTTCAGCGAGACCTTGATCTTTAGGCTAAGAGGTGACCAGTCCTGCCCCACGTCCATACCGGATCAGCGCGGCTCCCGCTGGCTTCAAGTCCAGCAGGGCAAGCAGCAGCAGCAGCAGCAGCAGCAGCGACAGTGGTGGCGACGGCATGCTGGGCTCCTGTGTGCCCAGGGCGTCCTGGGGGTTGGTTCCCCACTCCGAGGCTCCGCCCTGGTCACGCCCCACCCCTCGGATCACAGGGGTGACCAGGACCTGGAGGCCCTTGGCAGGGCACACGGGGAAGGGCACACGTGACCGTTTTGGAAGATGTGTGTGTGGTACTTTTGCAGGGGGTGGTTTGCCGGAAGCCCTGCTGTTCCTGACTGCCACTTTTTGGGGGCTGACGGTTGCGGGGTCTTCTTGTCCGGCACCTCCTCCCTCCCTCCCACCTAGCTCTAGCTGCACAGTTTCCGGCTTTTACTTTTATCTCTCACTTCCCTTTTTCTGAGGCTCAGGAACCACAGAGGGAGGAGGGACAGGAGGGCGACTGTGAAGGTTGGGGCCGGGTGTGACCCCAGATGCTTCCTCTGCGTGCTGGCGCTCGGGACCCCGACTTTGGAGGGCCACCAGCGGAAAAACCCTCATGCAAGTAAAACTGCCCAGAGCCCAGCCAGGCTCACAGCCACCTGCTGTACCCCTCGCTCTGGCGGGCCATCCCCCCTCCCGCCCCAGGGGGCTTGTTAGGCTTTAACAAATGCAGATTCCTGGGTACCCCTCCCCACCCCACGGACCCCCAGGCTCAGAAGGCCTGGAACAAGCCAGGAAAACGTCAGGTTGCACCGCACCTCACAGGGCTCAACAGTTCTCAGAGAAGCACCATCTGTTTCACTTATTCCCCCACCAGCCAGTAAATAAAAACACACTGCTGCTTATTGATTTGCGATTAAAAAAAAAATAGTTTATTGGGGCTGGCACGATGGCTCAACTGGCTAATCCTCCGCGCCCAAGAATCGGAATCCCATATGGGCGCCAGTTTATATCCCGGCTTCTCCACTTCCCATCCAGCTCCCTGCCTGTGGCCTGGGAGAGCAGTCGAGGACGGCCCAAAGCCTTGGGACCCTGCACCCACGTGGGAGACCTTGTAGCTGCTGGCCTTGAATCGGCTCAGCTCTGGTCGTTGGAGGCCATCTGGGGAGTGAACTAGCGGATGGAGGATCCATTTTTCTTTCTCTCTGTAAATCTGCCTTTCCAATGAAAATTAATTTAAAAAATATATACAGAGAGGAGGAAAGACGGAGAAGATTTTCCATCCGATGATTCACTCCCCAAGTAACCACAATGGCCAGTGCTGTGTCGATCTGAAGTCCAGAGCCCAGATCCTCCTCCGGGTCTCCCACGCGGGCGCAGGGTCCCAAGGCTTTGGGCTGTCCTCCACTGCTTTCCCAGGCCACAGGCAGGGAGCAGGAAGGGAAGTGGAGCTGCCAGTATTAGAACCGGCGCCCATATGAGATCCCGGCACATTCAAGGCAAGGACTTTAGCCACTAGGCCACCGTGCTGGGCCCTTAAATTTTTAAAAATTTTTATTTACTTACTTGAAAAAGTGTCAGAGAGAGAGTTGCATCCTTTGGTTCACTACCCAAATGGTCACAACAGCCAAAGCTGGGTCAGTCTGCAGCCAGAGACCAGAATCTCCATCCAGGTCTCCCACCGGGGTGCAGGGACCCAAGCCCTTGGGCCATCTCCACTGCTTACGCAGGTTCACTAGCAGGGAGCTGAGTCGGAAGTGGAGCAACCAGGACTCAGACCAGCGCACCGATAACAGGATGCAAGAGCTGCCAAGTGACGCCCTTGCTTCTGTTTGCACCGTGCGTTTTCCCCATGAGGCTGTGGCTGTCACAGGAGAGGGGGTCGTCCGTGTGCTGCAGCCAGGGGGGCCCCCGGCCTCCCTCCCACGTCCCTCCTTCAGCCCTCTCGTCAGCAATGCCCCACACGGCCACAGGGTGGCGGTGCGCACCCATGCTCCGCTTCGGGGACCGTGGGATGGCATTCGGGGGCTGTCGCCCATCCCTGGGGACTGATGCGGTTGGGTTGCCGTGAGCAGGCCTCACCTTCTATCCCCACTCTCCCCAGATACAGGAAGAAAAAAGTGGATTGGAGGCAGTTGTCTCCTCCACTTTCCCCACTCCTTGACCCTCTGCATCCTGATTGGTGGTCCACATGGGCATGCGTCCTTCACTACATAAACATCCTCAAAAATAAATTTATAAAAAATTGCAATTGGTAAAGGCAAAGTTTATCTGTTGTTGCGGGCATAGGTTATGTCACCTCCGATTTCATTTTAGAATAGTAAATGTGGAGTAGCTATTGCTGTGGCTGCGAGTGTCGGCATCCCACATGGGCTCTAGTGAAGCCCTGGATGCTCCACTTCCCATCCAGCTCCCTGCTGTGGCCTGGGAAGGCAGTCGAGGACGGCCCAAAGCCTTGGGACCCTGCACCTGCATAGGAGACCCAGAAAAAGCTCCTGGCTCCTGGCTTCAGATCAGTTCAGTTCTGGCTATTGTGGGGAGCAAACCAGGAGATGGAAGATCTTCCTGTCGCTTCTTTCTCTGTAAATCTGCCTTTTCAATACAAATAAATAACTTTTTAAAAAGTATATTTATTTGAAAGGCAGAGTTGCAGGGCGTGGGGTGTTGCACAGCATACGTAAGCTGCTGCCGTCACAGCATCCTATCTAAGTGCCAGTCTGAGCTCTGGCTGTTCCATTTCCGACCTGTCCCCACCAACACCCTGTGAAAGCAGCCAAGCTTGGCTCGCGTGCTTGGGACCCTGTACCCAAGGGGAGACGGGCTGTGGTTCCTGGATTTGGCCTGGCCAGCCTCAGTCGCTGCAGCCGTTTGGAGAGTGAAGCAGTGCGCGCAAGACTTTCTCTCTCTCATTTTTTTTTTTTCTGTCTGCAACTCTTCCAAATGAATAAAAATTAAGATTTTTTTAAAAATAAAAAGGTGTAGTAAGCACTGGATTACACCGTGGGAATTGTGATAAAAATATAACTGTTCATCACAGCCAAGAGGCAAATTAAAATCCCAATCAAATGTCAGTTCACGCCCCCTAGAGTGGCTAGCAAAGGAATGGCAGCCAAGGGCTGGCCAGGATGTGTGGGTTGGCGCCACCGGTGGGATGGTGCAACGGGCAGTGCAGGCTGCCAGGTCCGAGCGTGGACGGAGCCCACCAGCAGGTTCCGGACGCGTGGTGCCGCCGCACGCAGCCACACACGGGTCGGGAGTCCCGACACCCACGTGCACTTTGAGCTCTTCCATATCCAAGGGACACTCAGTGTGTGGGTGCTGTGGGCATGAAATGCCCAGCCCGCAAACACGCCAGGCTACGTTGGATGACGTGCTGCCTAGGTGAGGGAACCTGGAGCCAACTATAAAGACTCAACCCCACACCCATAAACACAGCAGACGTGGGGTGCTCCTCCCTCCGGGCTGTCTTGGTTCAGGTGTGTCCACCTCACTTGATCCCCCCCCAAAAAAGCTGGGAGCAGGGAGTTCTGCAGGAGTAGGAGATGGGCGGTCCTGGACTGCTTTCTCAGACAACAAGCAGGGAGATGGGAGGTGGAAGTGGAGCAGCCAGGATTTGAACCGGCGCCCATATGGGATCCAGGAACAAGAAAGGCAAGGATTAACCCACTAGGCTACTGCACCAGGTCCCAAAGATGATTTTTTAAAAAAGATTTATTTTATTTCAAAGTCAGATATAGAGGAAGAACGTCTGTCTGATGATTCACTTCCCAAGCAGCCACAATGGCCAGAGGAGCGATCGGAAGCCAGGAGCCTGGAGCTTCTACCAGGTCTCCCACGCAGGTGCAGGGAACGAATCGGCGTGGGATGCGCCCGCGTGACGGGGCGGACGCGGGTCGAGGCGCTGCGAGGGAACACAGCTTCCCGGAGCGCCGCCGCAGGGCACACTTCCGCTGGCAGCCCCACACTTCCGCTCGGGGCAGTTCCATCCCCGCCGGCGGCCGGTTTCCGAGCGGGCCGGAAGTCCATCGCCCTTCACGCCCCACCCTTTCCGGACGTGACGCCCGGCGGGGTTGCCGGAAGAAGTGGCGAAGTTACTTTTGAGGGGGACTCGAGTGGCGGCGGCGTGTCAGGCAGTACGGAAGCAGAGGAGGAAGGGGAGCCGAGGAGGGCCGCGGACGCAGGTGCCCCCGAGAGCGGGGCGCGGCGGAGCAGCCCCGGGCCCGGCCTGCCGTCCCCCGAGCGCTTCCGCTCAGTCCCCCTTCTCCTGCCCTCCTTCCCGCCGCCGTAGCTCGCGCATCCCCCTCGGCTGTTCCCACGGCAACGCGAGGAGACCCCTCCCTCCCTCCGCGAGAGGACGCGAGACCCCCGCGCAGCCATGAGCCCCGCCCCCCACGGGCCGTCGGAGAGGGGCGGGGCCTGGAGCGAGGTGATGGGCGGGGCCTGGGGCGAGGCGGTGGGCGGGGCCAGGAGCGAGAGGCTAGCGTGGGCGGGGCCAGGGTGGGGCCTGAAGCCAGGTGGAGGGCGGGGCCAGGAGTGAGGTGATGGGCAGTGTCTGGGTGGGCTGGGGCGGGGCCTCACGGGCTGGGCGGGGCCTCACGGGCTGGGGCGTGGTCTAGGAGGAAAATATGGGGATGAGACTGACTGGAGGAGATGGTCAGAATGAAAGTAGGACCACCGCGTGAGGAAGACCAGACAGTAGTGGGAGAGCAGGTGGGCGGGGCCTGGAAGGGGTGGGTCTGCAGGCCAGGCTGCTAGAAAGGGTAGGAAGGGGGTTGCCTGGGGCTGAGTTCTCCAAGCAGTCGCCAGAGTTGAGGGGAGATGGAAGAAAGACGACCCCGCCTCCCATCAGGACCTGCAGCTGGCCTGATCCGGTTCCCCTTCCCTTCCCCACGCCCGGGCTGGCCGTGCCCGTGTGTTCTGCAGGCTGCTCCGTGACCCCACCATGTCTTCCCCCACCACGAGTTCCCTGGACACCTCCCAGCCCGGTGAGTGACCCTGGGCCTCGCCCGGCGTCCCGCACAGTGGCAGGAGAAATGACCACCTTCCTTCCCTCTGCCCTTCATGCGTCTGTCTGGCAGGAAATGGCCCTGCCCAGCCCAGCACCTCCTCCTGCTCCTCTTCGCCCGCCGTAAAGGAAGAGGGTCCTGAGGGCCAGGAGCCCGGTGTTCCGGGCACAGATGAGGCGGCCTCAGCCTGCGTTGTGGGTAAGGACGTGGGGAAGAGCTCCAAGAGACACTCGGGAAGGGAAAACGGGGCTGAGGATGTGGGTGGGGACCCCCTTCTCGTCTCTGACGCCCTTCCTGTGATGCGTTCTGTGGGGGACATCAGCGTGCAGCATCTCCTTTCCACTGTCAAACTGCACGAGTTTGTGGGTGCAGGGGACCTCCTCTGTCCCTGCCGTCCCTCTGGCTGTCACATGTGTCTCCCTGCAGCCAGCTCACAACCCTTGTCTGTCGCCTCCCCCAGTCACCCTGGATCCGGAGGAGGAGCCGGAACGCAAGCGCAAGAAGGGCCCAGCCCCTAAGATGCTGGGCCACGAGCTTTGCCGCGTGTGCGGGGACAAGGCCTCTGGCTTCCATTACAACGTGCTGAGCTGCGAGGGCTGCAAGGGCTTCTTCCGGCGCAGTGTGGTCCACGGCGGGGCTGGGCGCTATGCCTGCCGCGGCGGCGGCACCTGCCAGATGGACGCCTTCATGAGGCGCAAGTGTCAGCTGTGCCGACTGCGCAAGTGCAAGGAGGCCGGGATGCGGGAGCAGTGTGAGTGGCCCAGGCAGGGGAAGGGGTGGCGGGCAGGCCGAGCCGCTGCTGAGCCCCGGATCCCCCCGTCCAGGCGTCCTCTCAGAGGAGCAGATCCGCAAGAAGAAGATCCGGAAGCAGCAACAGCAGCAGCAGCCGGCACCCACGGAGCCTGGGAGCAGCTCGGGCGCTGCACCGGGGGCGTCCCCTGGGGGTCCTGAGGCCGGTGGCCAGGGCCTGGCAGAGGCCGAGGGCGTCCAGCTCACAGCGGCCCAGGAGCTCATGATCCAACAGCTGGTGGCGGCCCAGCTGCAGTGCAACAAGCGTTCCTTCTCGGACCAGCCTAAAGTCACGGTACCAGGTGGCAGGGGAGGGGCCGGGCCCCGGGTGCTGGAGGGAAGGGCTTAGAAAGGGGGTCCTGCCTCAAGAAACCCTGGAGGCCTTGGTCTTCCGGGCTAGGTGTGGAGCTGAGGGAGGGTTCCTGGGGTGACCCCGGTCTCCTGTGCCGCAGCCCTGGCCCCTGGGCGCTGACCCACAGTCCCGCGACGCCCGGCAGCAGCGCTTTGCCCACTTCACGGAGCTGGCCATCATCTCGGTCCAGGAGATTGTGGACTTCGCCAAGCAGGTGCCCGGCTTCCTGCAACTGGGCCGGGAGGACCAGATCGCGCTGCTGAAGGCGTCCACCATCGAGGTAATGGCCCACCCTGCCCTCAGCGTGACCCCTTCCCCCTCTGCTCCCAAGGAGCCCCAGGGGAGAGTGCGCAAATGGATGCCAGGAACAGGGTGGCCACCTCCGTGCTGGTCAGCTTAGCCATAACCTACAGCGAGCCTCCCACGAGCCCAGGTGCTGGTGGGGTCCCCTTTAGAAGAAATAACGGCACCCTAGAGTCCCCCATCTTCACGCTCACTCCCCCAGGTAGCCACAACGGCCAGCACTGGGCCAGACCAGAGCCAGGAGCCAGGAGCTTCTTCCAGGTGTCCCATGTGGGTGCAGGTCCCAAGGCTTTGGGCCGTCCTCCACTGCTTTCCCAGGCCACAGGCAGGGAGCTGGATGGGAAGTGGAGCAGCTGGGACATGAACCAGTGCTGAATGGATTCCAGCACCTGCAGGAGGAATATTAGCTAGTTGAGCCATCGTGCCAGGCTTCCCATGAGGTTTTGAAGTGTCCCGTGTACCTGGAAGGTGTCTCAGTGGCCTAGTCAGGGCTAGTAAGAGTTGATCACCTGCTGTGTTCAGGGTGGACCCCCAGTGCTCATGCCTGACGCAGAACGACACAGCAAAGCCAGCCTCCCGCCTGCCCCGTGTCGGCCTGGGGGAGGGGGTGTGCAGGTGCCGGAGCCCAGGGCAGGGGGTGAGGGGCCGGTGTGACTGATGGGGACGCGGCAGCTCCTGACCCCCAGACCCCGTTCTGGCCAGGAGGGGTGGGCAGCCGCAGAGGGGTCATGGGTCCTGCCTCCCCAGATCATGCTGCTGGAGACGGCGCGGCGCTACAACCACGAGACCGAGTGCATCACCTTCCTGAAGGACTTCACCTACAGCAAGGACGACTTCCACCGTGCAGGTCGGGCCGGCGCTGCACGCAGACGCGGGGTTGTTCCTGTGTAGTCCTGCAACCCCCCCCCCCTGCCCGCCTGGGCTCACAGAGAGGCCGGCCTGCAGTGGACACACCCACTGTGCAGCCCTGACCTTCAGTTCAGCTTTGCAGGCATCCTTTGTTCCTCCATGGAACATTCTAGAAGCCCCTCGCCAGGCTCCCTGCCTACCCCCTCCTGATGTACCTGCCCAGCAGGCACACCCAGGTTGACACTCCTCCCTCTTCAGTCTGGAACTTTCCACGGCTTTCTCCTCACAGCATGGCCCTGAAGCCCTCCATGCCTTAGCCACAACCTCTGTCATCTTCCTTGGTCGATCAGGTGTGCCCTAGCCTGGGGCCCTTGTGCTGGCCGGCTTCTTGCTTGGAACAAGCACTACCACTCGTCTGCTCTGCCCTGGACTCCCTGCCCAGTCCCTCTGTCCACACCCCGTGTGGCACCAGCTGTGGCCAGCTGCTGACCAGGCTGGCCTCCCGCCCCGCAGGCCTGCAGGTGGAGTTCATCAACCCCATCTTCGAGTTCTCGCGAGCCATGCGGCGCCTGGGCCTGGACGACGCCGAGTACGCCCTGCTCATCGCCATCAACATCTTCTCAGCCGACCGGCCCAACGTGCAGGAGCCTAGCCGCGTGGAGGCGCTGCAGCAGCCCTACGTGGAGGCACTCCTGTCCTACACGCGTATCAAGAGGCCACAGGTACGCGGCCCCAGCGGCCGGCTGCAGCCCCAAGGGCAGGGTGCTGCCAACCACCAGGTTGCGGGCCACTGCCCGCCGCCCACTGCTCATCTCCGCTGCCCGCCCTCCGCCCGCAGGACCAGCTCCGCTTCCCGCGCATGCTGATGAAGCTCGTGAGCCTGCGCACGCTGAGCTCCGTGCACTCGGAGCAGGTCTTTGCCCTGCGGCTCCAGGACAAGAAGCTGCCGCCTCTGCTCTCAGAGATCTGGGACGTGCACGAGTGAAGGGCGGCCCGCTGCCCGCCCTGCCGCCTTGCCTGACCGCGCCACCCCAGCAGACGGCCGCCTCTCCTTCCTCTTCCCGGGGGTACGGGGCCTGGACTGGGCACCGGCCCCAGCCCCGTGGGGGTCCAGGAGGCTCCCTGCCCCCTGAGTCTTCCAGGAGGGTACAGGGGTTGGGGGCTGCACCTCTCACCTCCCCTGGCGCCCTCCCCGCCCAGCTTACCCCCCAAGACCACCACGCCGTGCACCTTGAATGAGGGAGGGAGAGCCCCCCGAGGGCCCCTCTCCACTGCGCCTTTTATTTAATAAAACTGAAAACACAGTAGAAAGCAGGACAGTAAGATGCCAACGGAACCAGCCCTCAGCAGGGAGAGTGGCCGGCGGGCGTGGTTTTCTCTTGCAGGGTTTGTTGAAGGAGAAACACGAGTTGGTACGGAAACGGGGAAGTGGGGGTTGCTCTGTGGGCGCTGTGTTTGGGGGCTCCTGTTCACGTCTGGGCGTCTGAGTAACAGACGATCTGGGGACGCCCCTTCGAGCTTAGGGATTCCGAGAAGTGGGGCATTTAGTGGGGCATTCAGTGGTGGCAGCCAGCCCTGGCGGAGGGGAGAAGGGGCCCGAGTCGAGGCTGAACCGGCCCTGTGGGGCTGCAGGAGCTGGAGGGTCGGTCCTGGTCGCAGCTTAGAGGGGCGTGCTGCATCGCGTAAACGGGCGGGTGGCCGAGCGAGCCTCCCGCAGTCCCGACGCCGCGCCCGGGTGCCCAGCATCCGCCCGCCCGACGTGGCCCAGGCGCTGCAGAGGAGCTGCGCCAGCAGCGCCCAGGGCGGGAGGAAGCACGCCGGGCGCATGCGCAGACAGCGAGAGGCGGAGAATGCCGCCCGTGGAGGGGCGTGGCCCCAGACGTCTAGGCGGGGTGGGGGCGTGGTCGTGTACTACCAGCATCCTGGTGGGAGGGGCTTGGCGCATCGAGGGCGTGGTTATCGCCGCCTATCGGGGGCGTGGCCTCATGCCGCTGCCGCCCTGGTAAGGAGGGGCTTAGTGCTTCGGGGCGTGGTCATACTCATTTCCGGGCGGAAGGGGGCGTGGCCAGCACCGAGCGTGCCGGTTCTGGGCTTGCGCGCGGCGAGGTCAGGGGTCACGGCGGCGTAGACTGTGGCGGGAAACGGTGTTTGAAGCAGGTGAGGCAAAGCAGAGAGGCAAGCGGGGGCTGCTCGGGCCGGCCGGGAAGCGGGGCTGGAGTAGCCGGGGACACCGTCTTGAGGACAAGGGTGTGAGGTGCTGCGCAGCACGTGGGGCGGGACTGGGCCCCGGGGGCGCGCGGGGAAAGGCCCGGTCCTGGAGCGCGAGCTGCAGCCCGGAGAAGGCGGTGGAAGAGGGACGCGGCCGCTGCGTGCGGTGGAGGCCCTTGCGGGCTGCGACCCGAGATCCCCGCGGCGGACGGGACGTGCTCACGGGGCGGGGTGGCAGAGCGCCCCAAGCTGCCTCGGGCTCGAGGCGGGAAGGCCCTCGGGGTGTCATGGATGGGGGCTTTAGGACGAGGTGCGCCCGGGAGCCGTTGGGGGACAGTGTCGGCGCCGCCGCCCCTGGGCTGAGGTGTTGGGGTGCAAGAGGGCGAGCTGCGTCTGGCCTGGCCTGGAGGGTGGGTGGCAGGTGGCGCCGGCCAGGCTTGGCTGTGGGAGCGGACTCGGTTTTGCAGGGTGAGAGAGGAGCAGGTTTGGGGTACCACTGTGAAGGCAGGGCAGGAAGGCAGTGGGAGGCATTAGGCGGGGTGCACCAGGAGGAGCCGGTGGTGTCCACTCCCTGGACCCCTGCTTGTCCCTCCTTCCAAGAGAAGCCCTGCAGGCCTGTGCGGGGGGCTTCTCGGGAGAGCAGCCACGCGGGAGGCAGTGCTGGTCTGGGAGGTTGGGAAGCAGGGGGACCGAGGAGAGAGATGAGCCCACCACCCGTCCTGGGTTTCCGGGGTACCACGCAGGAACAGCGGCGACCCAGCAAGGCAAGTGGGGCTTGCTGTCTGTGTCCCCTTGGCCAGGCAGGGGGCGGATACCTGTGCTCTGCCCTGGCGCAGGCCTGGCGGTGGCCCTGCTGCAGTTTGCAGCTGGAGTGTGGATGAGGTGAGGTGATTCCAGTGGCTGTGGGAACCTCTGTCTATTGCGGGTAGGGGCAGCAGATGGGGGCGAGCAGGAGCTGGCCCTGGCAGCCGAGGGCTCTGGGACCCACACGGCCAGCAAGAGCCCGGGGCCTGAGCCGGAGTGATCACGCAGTGGCCGCCCGGCCTGCATGCCAGGCTCGCTCCTCCGTGCTGCCCCTTTCGGGTGCTGCGGGAAGCCGGGGACGGCTAAGCTGTGTCCTCGCTGTGAGAGTGAGGCCTGTGGATGGGTCTCCACCAGTCACACCTGGGCAGGCGCCTGTGTTTGTCACCAGCAGGGGGACACACACGCCAGGCTGGGAGCTCACAGGTGCAAAAACCAAGTGTGATGTCCACTAGGACTGTGGGCCTCTATGTGTGTGGGAGGGAACAGGGTTGTGTGTGTGTGAAAGGGCGGGGGGCTGTGTGTGTGTGTGTGTGTGTGTGTGGGAGGGAACAGGGTTGTGTGTGTGTGAGAGAGAGAGAGAGAGCAGGGACCTGTGAGTGTCTGAGGACAGGGGTCTGTGTGTGTGTGAGGGCGGGGGGCTGTGTGTGTGAAAGAGAGAGAGAGAGAGCAGGGGCCTGTGTGTGTGAGAGAGAGAGAGAGCAGGGGCCTGTGTGTGTGAGGGCAGGGTGTGTGTGTGTGTGAGAGAGGGCAGGGGTGTGTGTGTGTGTGTGTGTGTGTGTGTGTGTGTGTGTGTGTGTGTGTGGACAGGGACCTGTAAGTGTGTGAGAACGGGGGCTGTGTGTATGTGTGTGTGAGAGAGAGGGTAGGGGGTTGTGTGTGTGAGGGCAGGGTATGTGTGCATGAGGGTGTGAGGACTTGAGAAGGGCAGGGCTGTTCCTGCTCAGATCCCAGCTGTGGGCTTCGCAGACTGGCTCGTGGTATCCTTCAAGTGTGCGCTTGTCCCCTTTGGGGAGTGGGTTGTGTGTCCTTGCGGCTAAGGACATCTGCCGTGTGCCTGGTCCCTGCACTAGGGGTCTTCCAGAGCAGACCTGGGCACAGTCCGCTCACACCTGTGGAAGCGTGCTGACTGTGCACGTGCCTTCTCCAGTTTGAGTGTGATGAGGCCCAGCCTGCAGGCTGTGGACATTGAGAGCAGCGATGGCACAGTCCTAAGTCCACTGTGGGAGGATATAGCTTGCATCCTGGTCCCCCCACCTCCAACTCCAGCTGCTGCTGACAGGGACCCCAGGAGGCAACAGCTGGTGGCTCAGGTGCCTGGACCCCCGTCATCTAGATGGGAGACCCTGATGGAGATCTGGCGCCTAGACCTCCAACCCACTCCCAGCTCTTGTCTGGGCATTTGGGAGCAAGCCAGCAGGTGGAAGATCTCTCTCTCTTTTTAAGTTGTGGTCACGATTCCTCCCCGAATCCCTGAGCTGGGCTCCGTGGAGAATACGGATGAGTGTCCATGCACTCAGGGGAGGCAGCCCGTTGTCTGCGCACAGCCCTGGGTACCCTGCGCCGCCCGCCCTTCTCAGGCCTCTAAATCCCAAGTCAGGGGTCACACCTGGTGTCAGGTCACCGTGACAGCCTTTCTCCTGGTGGCGACGGTGTCAGCTCCCTATTCCCTGTGCTCTGTTGGTGTGTCTGGGGGCACCTGGCGTGGGGTGCAGGTGCCCCCTCACAGAAGGGCTGAGCCCCAGGCACACTGCCCTGCCCCCGACCTCTGGAACAATACTCCTTTCAGAGCCTCCCAAGTGGCCCGGGACCGCCCTTCCTCATTTCTGTATACAGCTGCATAGTATTCCGGGGAGCCCAGCGACCGTTCAGTTGTTCAGACAGTCCCCCGAGGGAGGACATTTAGGTGGTTTCCAGCCTTTTGTGATGTCAAACAATGCTGCCGGAAATAACCTCGTAAATGCCCATTTTCTGAAGCCAGTGCCTAAGTCCCGGCAGGTGGGCCTGTGGGCCTGTGGCTTCTACACTCTGGCTCGGTTTGGTTTTTTGTTTGGAAAACAGAGTTCCAGAGAGAGAAGATCTTCTGTCAGCTGGTTCCCTCCTCAGCTCAGATGTCCACAGTGCCAGGGCTGGGCCGAGCCAAAGCCAGCAGCTTGGAATTCCACCTGGGTCTCCCACCTGGGCAGTCAGAGGGAGCTCCAGCACTTGGGCTGTCCTCCCTGCTTTTCCTAGGTGTGTTAGCAGGGAGCTGGATCGGAAGTGGACCAACCGGGACTCGAACCTGTACTCACACGGAATGCCAACACCGCACTTACTTGGCAGCTTAAACTTCTGTGCCATGGTGCTTTTTTGTTTTTTTAAGATTTATTTTTTATTGGAAAGGCTGATTTACAGAGCAGAAGATCTTCAGTCTGCTGACTTACTCCCCAAGTGGTCACAGTAGCTAGAGCTGAGCCGATCCAAAGACAGGAGCTTCTTCCGGGTGTCCCACGCGGGTGCAGGCTCCCAAGGCTTTGGGCCGTCCTCCACTGTTTGCACAGGACACAAGTGCCAGGCCCACTGGTCGGGTTTTTAATCAGGGCGTGACTGACATTTAGTGACCTGCGCGGTGCCGTGGTGTCCCGCCTGGCTCAGCCACGCGATGCCGTTGCTAGCCTGTGCAGGTCATTCCCTTGACTTACCAGGCGACACTGCCCGCCTGAGAGCAGTGGTTAGTGGCCCAGGGCGGAACATTCGCGTGTGAAGTTGCCCATGCCTCCATCCAGGTCTAAAATTTCTTCACACCCCGAAAGGGAGCCTGCCCTGCACCCGGAGCAGGTACTCCCTGCCCCCCAGCCCCGCTTCTTTGTGGGACTCCTGCTGTGCCACATGCTCCGACATGCACCTCTCGCCTGCTGACGCCTCCCCTCGGCCGCGGCTGGGACCGTGCGGGCTGTTTTCTGCCATGACAAAGAGCCCAGCACAGGGGTGGCACCCTCCCTGCACACCAAAGCCATGGCCTCGGGCGCCCATGTTCCACCCCCTCAACCTTCCGCCCTAAAGAGCTGGAGAGAGGTGATTTACTGCTTTTTTTTAATCTCACGGTTCTGGAAGTTGAGCACGAGGGCACTCCAGCAAGGCGCATGGCAAGTGCTACCTGCAGGTGCGCAGGCAATGGTGCACTGCAGACGTGCCAGCGGGCACCTGGCGCAGGCCCGAGCTGAGCTCCGCTGTGGTGCTGAGCCGCCTGCCCGGCTGGCCTGGGTCTCAGCCCAACCCCTCAGCTCATGCTGCCCGTTCTGCCAGCTTCCTGTTCTTCTGTAGTCATTTCAAGGTTCTGGGGAGATTGGGAGCATTGGGGTGGTGTGGGCACTGCCCGCGGGATCTGGTGCAGAGGGTCCGCTGGCAGGGGCGCAGGACTCGGGCCGTCCTTCGCCGTCTGTTCCTTAGTCAGCCATCCTGCTGCGAGCCTGCTCTGAGCTTACGTAAAGGGGCATCGTTGTCCGTCCGAGCTGTGTCGGCATAAAGGGAGGACACAGGCTCGAGGCTGGCACTGCGGCCCAGCTCCCTGCAGATGCACGAGCAGCAAAGGATGGGCCAAGTGCCAGGGCCCCCGCCAACGCACGTGGGAGACCCAGCCGACACTCCTGGCTTCGCCTGGGCTGGTCCCTGCCACCGTGGCCTTCTGGAGAGAACCAGGGGTAAACGAGCTCTCTGTTCCTCCCATGCTGTCACTCTACCAGGAGCTCTGGGACAGTTTAGGAGGGCAAGAGCAGTGGGCACTGTGGGGACAGGGGCAAGTGGCAGTTTGGTGGCCTATGGAGGGTCTGTCTGGGGACAGGCGTGCAGCAACGCCATTATCTCAAAACGAAGAGGGCCTTGGTTTCTTCTCACGATGGGGGCCCTCTGGGGTGTGTCAAGCGGCAAGGTGACCCCATCAGACCTGGGGAACTGGGACTTCCATCTGGAGTGGGGGAGGACCCTGGGGGAGGGAGGGTAGATGGTGCAGGGCAGGGGGTGGTCTGTGAGGGACAGACCGGCTGGAAAGGACGTGGGGCTCAAACCTGTGTGGAGAGGGAGCGTGCTTGTGTCAACTGGCTGTAGGCTTTCCATCAGCCCGCGGGGCTGGGGCCCTGTGCCGTCAGCCGCCGCCAAGGCCCACGGCAGGTGCACGGGTGGCGTGGAGCAGGCGAGGACGGGGTACTCCTGATCACAGCCCGCCCACATCCAGTCCCCCTCTCCCGGCAGGATGGACAGCAAGCGGCGGCCAGGCCCGGAGGCTGAGGTGCCCCCGAAGCGGGCCCGCAGGGGCCCATGGGCTGATGAAGAGATGCAGCCAGCCTCCCCAGGGGAGGATGAGCTGGCCTTGATGGAGGAGCTGGAGCTGGAGCGCAGGCTGCAGGAGCAGGAGGAGGAGCTGCGGGCTGCCGTGGAGGGGCCTGTTGATGGTGAGGCCTGAGCTGGCGCCTGTGCCCTCCAGCTTGACAGCCTTTGGTCTGCTGCCTGGCGCACATACCCCTGGCTCTCCTGGCTTTCTCCTGGGATGGGGCAAGGGGAGTGAAGAATACCCCCCTCATGGAGCCCCTCCCCCTCCCCAAGGACCGTTCCCAGCCTCGCCCATTGACCCCCGCTGGCGGCGGCCCGCCCCGTCCCCGCTGGACCCCCAGACCCAAGCCCTCATCTTCCAGCAGCTGGAGATCGACCACTACGTGGGTGAGTCGGGGAGGGGTCAGGGTTGGGTGACATCTCTGCAGCTGACCCAGTGACAGGGGACAGATTGGTGGGGGCCAGGGTGCGAGTGGCCAGAGTCCAGCCACGCGCCACAGATCTGTGTGCCAGAACCAGTGTGTCCAGTTGAAGGCTGTATTTATTTATTTGAAAGTTAGAGAAAGACAGAGAGATCTATCAGCTGGTTCACTCTCCAGATGGCCACAACAGCCAGGGTGGGGCCAGGCGGAAGCCAGGAGCTTCTGAGTCTCCCACGTTGGTGCAGGGGTCTAGGCACTTGGGCCATCCTCCACTGCTTTCCCAGGAACATCAGTGGGGAGCTGGATCAGAAATGCAGCCGCTGGGACTCAGACGAGCGACCATGGCGCTGCGCACAGCACCGGCCCCCGTAGTGCTCGTTTCTCAGTGTTGTAGAGAAGGGAGGATGAGGGCTTTGGTCTGGGGGTCTGGGGAGACCACCTTCTCAGGGCCTGAGGAGCCGACCTCTGCCTCCCTCTGTACCCCCACCCCAGGCCCGGCACAGCCCCTGCCTTGGGGGCCCCCTCCAGCCAGCACTTCCGTGCCTGTGCTCCGTGCCTTCGGGGTCACCGATGAGGGCGTCTCGGTCTGCTGCCACATCCATGGCTTCTCACCCTACTTCTACGTCCCCGCACCCTCCGGTGAGTGGTGACTCCTTCACCCCCCATCCTGGCCCAATCCAGGGACCCCTGCCCCTGCGCTCCCTGGCCCCTGCACCCCCTGACCAGCTATCTCCCCAGGTTTTGGGCCTGAGCACCTGAGCGACTTCCAGCGGGAGCTGAACTTGGCCATCAGCCGGGACCAGCGCGGGGGGAAGGAGCTGGCAGGACCCGCTGTGCTGGCCGTGGAGCTGTGCTCACGCGAGAGTGAGTATCGTGGGGTGGCAGGGAGGTGGACAGGATGGAGGATCCCAGGGCCTATCCCACCCCTCTGTTTGCAGGCATGTTCGGGTACCATGGGCATGGCCCCTCCCCGTTCCTACGCATCACGCTGGCACTGCCCCGCCTCATGGCACCAGCCCGCCGCCTGCTGGAACAGGGTATCCGTGTGGCAGGCCTGGGTACCCCCAGCTTCGCGCCCTATGAAGCCAACGTGGACTTTGAGATCCGGTATAGCCCCACTCCAACCCTCCACGTGCCCCTCCCCTGCCCCCGCCTTGGTCCAGCCTCTGCCCGCTGACCCCCCACCCCACAGGTTCATGGTGGACACCGACATCGTTGGCTGCAACTGGCTCGAGCTCCCAGCTGGGAGATATGTCCTGAGGCCCGAGGGCAAGGTGCGTGCTTCCCCAGGGCCGGGGATCCCAGATCTGGCGGCAGCCACTGAGCTTCCCCGTTGCACAGGTCACATTGTGCCAGTTGGAGGCTGACGTGCTGTGGTCGGACGTGGTCAGTCACCCGCCAGAGGGTCCTTGGCAGCGCATCGCGCCACTGCGCGTGCTCAGCTTTGACATTGAGTGTGCCGGCCGCAAAGGTCAGTCCCTCTGGACGTGAGCAGTAGCCTGGACCCAGACTGGGGCCACAGGCCTGGCAAGGAGATGAGTGGTCAGGGGTGCAGAGAATGCTGCCCTGGGTGTTGGGGGAGGGAGTGGCCAGAGAGCACTGCCTGCACGCCCGCCCTCCCTCCCTTGCAGGCATCTTCCCCGAGCCCGAGCGGGACCCCGTGATCCAGATCTGCTCACTGGGCTTGCGTTGGGGCGAGCCGGAGCCCTTCCTGCGCCTGGCACTCACTCTGCGGCCCTGCGCCCCCATCTTGGGTGCTCAGGTGCAGAGCTACGAGCAGGAAGAGGAGCTGCTCCAGGTGCCAGCCCACCCACCCTGCATCCTGTGGCATTTTCGGGTGGGACAGGATGGGGGTCATTCTAGAATGTTCCACACACGGGAACAGGTTGCAGCCACAACATCCAGGTGAGTGACCCTGTGCACCCCCAACCAGGCCTGGTCCACGTTCATCCGCGACATGGACCCCGATGTGATCACCGGCTACAACATTCAGAACTTTGACCTCCCGTACCTCATCTCCCGGGCCCAGACTCTGAAGGTGAGGGCAAGGCAGGGTCTTCCTGTGGCCGTCTTCCTGTTGTCTTCTCCCCACGGTCGCAGACCTGGCATCCCAGAGGTGTTGAGGGGCCAGGCCCTGGCCTGCTCAAGTCCAGCAGGCACCGGACTTGGCTTGGGGCGAGGGGTGGGCACAGGGTTAACGAGCCGACAGTGAGGCATGGGTGAAGACTGTACAGAGTGATGCTGAGGACAAGTGAGCGCAGGGCTGGCTGCCATCAGGACACAGAATCCCCAGCTGCACCAAGAACATGGCCGACTGGGCGGGTGGTCAGACGCCGGCCCATGGGGTGGCTTGTGCTGCCCCCTCTGTAAGCGGCACGGCAGCCTCCGGCGTTGCAGCTGTCAACCTGCGGGCATGCTTCTGGACGCAGTCAGGCTGGAAGCTCCATGTCCTCCAGGGGGTCACGGTGGAGCCCATGGTCCTCGCTGCTCACCAGCTAGGTCAGAAAAAACAAAACAGAGCCCACCCCCGGGTCAGCCCACCCCCGGGTCAGCCCAGCATACGCTCCTCTTCCTGTTCGTCCTCCTTGGGCCTCGGGACTTCCTCCCCGCCTCTCTCCTTTCCTTCTTGGCCCTGGCATAGCCTCACCTGCCCGCCTGGCTGTCCTCCCACCCAGGTGCCATCCTTCCCCTTCCTGGGCCGCGTCGCCAACCTCCGCTCCAACATCCGGGACTCATCCTTCCAGTCCAAGCAGACAGGTCGGCGGGACAGCAAGGTGGTCAGCATGGTGGGCCGCGTGCAGATGGACATGCTGCAGGTAGGCCGGTTGGGCCCTGGCCAGTGCCCAGGGACCTGGGAGGCCCCAGCCCAGGGCTGGCACCTGTGCCCACCTGGCCTGGCCTGCTGCCCCAGGTGCTGCTGCGGGAGTACAAGCTGCGTTCATACACGCTCAATGCCGTGAGCTTCCACTTCCTGGGCGAGCAGAAGGAAGACGTGCAACACAGCATCATCACGGACCTGCAGGTGCCGCCCGGCACGCCTCACCTCTCCCCTGTCACTCCTCACCTCTCCCTCTCCCCCGTCACCCCTCACCTCTCCCTTGTCACTCCTCACCTCTCCCTCTCCCCCTGCCACTCCTCACCTCTCCCCTCACCCTCTCACCTCTTCCTGGCCTCTGGTCCACATGGCCCCGCAGACTGCTCCCTCCCTCAACTCCCCTCCCACCCCACCCTTACCCCTCCCCCTTGGAGCCCCTTTCCTCCCACGGCTCTGTGTCCCTCCCACCTTATCCCTGCCCTGATGGTGCCTGTCCCCAGAACGGCAACGACCAGACACGCCGCCGGCTGGCCGTCTACTGCCTCAAGGATGCCCTGCTGCCCCTGCGGTTGCTCGAGCGGCTCATGGTGCTGGTGAACAGCATGGAGATGGCGCGCGTCACAGGCGTGCCCCTCAGCTACCTGCTCAGCCGTGGCCAGCAGGTCAAGGTTGTGTCCCAGCTACTGCGGCAGGTCAGTGACCCGGCCCAACTCAGACCCAGGCACTCTCCCTCTCTGCCCCGACTCCCACCCCGGGCTCACTGCCGCCCTTCCTCAGGCCAGGCGCCAGGGGCTGCTGATGCCCGTGGTGAAGACCGAAGGAGGCGAGGACTACACGGGGGCCACGGTCATTGAGCCCCTCAAAGGGTGAGGCCCAGGTTTAGGGCAGGCGGGCAGGTGGGCGCGGCTCCTGGCCTAACTGCCCGCTGCACGGCCCCCAGGTACTACGATGTCCCCATCGCCACCTTGGACTTCTCCTCGCTGTACCCGTCCATCATGATGGCCCACAACCTGTGCTACACCACCCTGCTGCGGCCCGGGGCCACCCAGAAGCTGGGGTAGGCCTTCCCACACGTCCCCGAGGCCCACAAAGTGTCAGGGGCCCAAGGGACGAGGTGGGCTCACGTCCCACCTGGGGCCGTCGCCCTGTCCCCCCAGCCTGGCTGCTGATCAGTTCATCAAGACGCCCACCGGGGACGAGTTTGTGAAGGCGTCAGTGCGGAAGGGGCTGTTGCCACAGATCCTGGAGAACCTGCTCAGCGCCCGCAAGAGGTAGGCGCCCCCCAACCCCGCAACCCTGAGCTCAGCCTGGGACACTGCCTGGGGCCTTCCCCACCCCACAACCCCGAGCTCAGCCTGGGACACTGCCTGGGGGCTCCCCCACCCCACAACCCCGAGTTCAGCCTGGGACACTGCCTGGGGTCTCCCCCACCCCACAACCCCGAGCTCAGCCTGGGACACTGCCTGGGGTCTCCCCCACCCCACAACCCGGAGCTCAGCCTGGGACACTGCCTGGGGCCTCCCCCACCCCACAACCCGGAGCTCAGCCTGGGACACTGCCTGGGGCCTCCCCCACCCCACAACCCCGAGCTCAGCCTGGGACACTGCTTGAGCAGCTTTGTCGCACCCCTGCCCAGGGCCAAGGCAGAGCTGGCGCAGGAGACAGACCCCCTGCGGCGGCAGGTCCTGGATGGGCGGCAGCTGGCGCTGAAGGTGAGCGCTAACTCCGTGTACGGCTTCACGGGCGCTCAGGTGGGCAAGCTGCCTTGCCTGGAGATCTCACAGGTGAGCCCCAAGCCCCTGGCCTTTGGGGGGGGGTGCCGCTGGGAGCCTCCTTCCTTTGCTCCCCAAACGCCTGCTGAGTGTGCATAGGGTGGGGGGTCAGGCCTGACTCTGGGTCTGGGCGTTTAGAGGTGAGCGGCAGCTGAGGCCTGGGGTGTGTGGACAATGATGGCAGGAGATGTGCAGGGGGCGCTGAGGACTCTGGAGATACTGCGTGGGGGTGACAGGCGTGCAGAGCAGCCTGAGAAGGGGGAGGCTGTGCTCCTTGAGTCCCTTGTGGAAGGTCACCTGCCAGCACCTGTCCCCCCAACACACAGAGCTCAAGTCTGTGTCCTCCTCAGGGGCCCTCCCCTACGGGCAGGGGAGCTGGGCAGGCCAGCTGGAGCTGGGCAGGTCCCCAGCACAGCCAGGCTCCGGTGCTCTGACACTTTGCTGTGGGTCCTCGGTGGGTCCTGTGGCCCGGGTCACAGGAGGGGGCACAGAGTACCGGCTGGCAGTGGTTGGCCAAGGCGGGCTCCAAGAGAGGCCATGGGCGGAGAAGCCACAGTGTACACGGCAGCTGCTCCATGTGGTGAGGCTTGCAAGCAGCAGGGCCCAGGCAGGCGAGGCAGCAGCCATCAGGTCAGCCTTGCCCCTGAGTCCCCAAGGGTGGTAAACCTGCCAGCCAGGGGCACTGCCCAGCGATCTCGGCCCAGGGCTTCTATTGGGGATTTGTCCCATAGACACAGAGCAGCCTCGGCCCCCAGCCGGCCCTGGCTGCCGGCCCACAGCTCCCGCTATAAACTGGATGACCGAAGGCCTCAGGTCAGCAGATAACACCATGGGCACTGCTTCTCTGGGGTCTGCGGGCCCCTCCCCAGCAAGGGGGCGAGGGGACTCCCTCACCCTCGTGCCGCAGGCTGAGCCCACTCTACTCTGCTGCGGCCTTCTCCTGGGTGCCTGCTCAGCCTCCCCTGGGGACGGGACCCAGCCCTCAGCTGAGCTAGCCAGCAGATGCAACCTCTCCTTTCTCTGGACTGCATCTCGCCGACCCTGCCCCCAGCTCCTGGCCTCGGCCTCACTTCTCCCTCAAGCTTGTGGGACAGTAATAAAGGCGAGGAGGAGAGTACAAGGCGGGCACTGCCCGTGAAGGGACCAGAGGCAGGAGCAAGTACAGTGTCCCACTGAGGCCACTGCACAGCTGCCTTGCCCCGTCTGTGAGCCAACACCCTCAGCGGGCTGTGGTTTCTCACATTTGCCCCTGCACATGTGCTAATATGTGGCCCAGGCCACGCCTGGCTGCACAGGAGTGGGGTGGGCAGGCTGGCACAGAGAGGCCAGGGTGCCAGCTGCCCTGAAGTGTCAGCCACAGGGAAGCTCTGGGCCTGGGACTTGGCCAGGCACCGCCCTTCCCAGCAGCCCCTGCCCATGCCCTGAGCTCCGGCCCAGGGAGCCCACTACTCCCCAGCAGGGCTTTGATGCAAGCCCCATTCTGCAAAATGGAGACCGAGGCACAGAAGGGGTTGGGGGTACAGTTGAGCCACACAGAGGCCTGACCCTGCTCCTGCCCGACTCTTCCCCACCCCCAACAGAGCGTCACAGGATTTGGGCGCCAGATGATTGAGAAGACCAAGCAATTGGTGGAGTCCAAGTACACGGTGGAGAATGGCTACAGCACCAATGCCAAGGTCAGGCAGCGGCTGGCCCCATCCTGAAACGTCCTGGGGCTCCCGCTCCCGCCCTCTCATGCATCCCCTCTGCTCCCTAGGTGGTGTATGGCGACACCGACTCGGTCATGTGTCGCTTCGGCGTCTCCTCCGTGGCCGAGGCGATGGCGCTGGGGCGGGAGGCCGCCGACTGGGTCTCGGGACACTTCCCACCACCTATCCGGCTGGAGTTTGAGAAGGTGTGTGGAGCCCTGCCTGTCCCAGGGTTCCCACAGAGCCCCAAAAGTGCTCATGTGGCAGACCCTGACACTGCTCAGCCTCTCCCGACGTGGGTGCCCACCTCAAGGTGCCCTGGGCGTCCCCTGCTTCCATCTAGGAGACCCATGTCCAGAGTCGTGCTGTGCTCAGCCATACAGGATGGTCTGGGGCGGCCTTCATTCAGGTGGTGGGGATCCTGGCACAGGAGGTCTGCCAGGTTCCCCAAGGGCTCAAACCCGCACACCATTCACCTGTGGGCTGCCCTGGCATTTGGCTTTGCTCTGAGCAGACTGCAGGTGTCCCAGGGACCACGCCCTGGGCCTGTGGGATGGGGCCTGCCCTCCGCGGGCCCGTGGGACGGGGCCTGCCCTCCGCCGGCTCAGGGTTAAGGCCGCGGGTCCCTCCTAGGTGTACTTCCCCTACCTGCTCATCAGCAAGAAGCGCTACGCAGGCCTGCTCTTCTCGTCCAGCCCGGACACCCACGACCGCATGGACTGCAAGGGGCTGGAGGCTGTGCGCAGGGACAACTGCCCCCTCGTGGCCAACCTCATCACTGCCTCGCTGCGCCGCCTGCTCATTGACCGGTGTGTGTGGCCCTCCCTCACTCAGGGTCCAACCCAGCCCCTCCTCCCTCACCCAGGGGTCCAGCCCCTCCTCCCTCACACCCAGGGGTCCAACCCAGCCCCTCCTCCCTCACCCAGGGGTCCAGCCCCTCCTCCCTCACTCAGGGTCCAGCCCAGCCCCTCCTCCCTCACCCAGGGGTCCAGCCCTCCTCCCCACCCAGGGTCCAGCCCCTCCTCCCTCACACCCAGGGGTCCAGCCCAGCCCCTCCTCCCTCACTCCCAGGGGTCCAGCCAGCCCTCCTCCCTCACACCCAGGGGTCCAGCCCCTCTCCTCACCCAGGGTCCAGCCCCTCCCCACACCCAGGGTCAGCCCTCCTCCCACACCGGGGCCCAGCCCCTCCTCCCTCACACCCAGGGGTCCAGCCCAGCCCCTCCTCCCTCACACCCAGGGGTCCAGCCCAGCCCTCTCCCTTGGGAACAGGTGTCAGGCGAGTCTTCCTGGGTGGTGGGAGGGTGGAAAGAAGCAGGCAGGATGGAGGAGAGCTGTGGGTTCACTCCCGGCTCCCCTCGCTCTGCAGCTGAAGCCAAGCCAGCCCTCCCGCTGTGACCCTCAGCCCACAGACCCCGCCCTGGTCCCCGACCGCTGGCTGCCACTGACAGCTGCCTGTGCACCCCAACCCGCAGGGACCCCGAGGGCGCCGTGGCCCACGCCAAGGACGTCATCTCCGACCTTCTGTGCAACCGCATCGACATCTCGCAGCTGGTCATCACCAAGGAGCTGACCCGCGCCGCGGCCGACTACGCTGGCAAGCAGGCCCACGTGGAGCTGGCCGAGAGGTCCTGGTGGGCCAGGGACCCAAGGGAGTCCCCGCCTCCCGCACCACACCTGCCCTGACCACCCACCCTCCCTGTCCACGCAGGATGAGGAAGCGTGACCCCGGGAGCGCACCCAGCCTGGGCGACCGCGTCCCTTACGTGATCATCGGCGCCGCCAAGGGCGTCGCCGCCTACATGAAGTCGGAGGTCAGGCCCACCTGGCCTGCCCACGACTCCCTGCCCCTGCAGCTCTCACTTCTGCTTTCCGTGGTGGGCGGGTCAGGGGCAGGCAAGCGGCCCCAGGGGCCCTGACAACATTGTCGCTAGGTGCACACCCTGGGGACCCTGGCCCCTGGCTCCTCCCCACAGCCAAGTGTCTTAGATTTATGATTCCCTCCGCTACACCCAGATGTCCCCCCCCAGTTCTTGGTCCCTGTGACCTCTGACTCCATGACCTGTTTCAGCCTTGCCTTTTCCCATGAATTCTGGCCCTTCCTGACCTGAGGGCTTCCACCCACGGCCCCCCAGGGTGGGTCCCAGAGCCCCCGTGATCCCTGGCCTCTCACTGCCGGTGCCTGTGGGCCCTGGCAGTGACGGGGTGGCCCCCGCAGGACCCACTGTTTGTGCTGGAGCACAGCCTGCCCATCGACACGCAGTACTACCTGGAGCAGCAGCTCGCCAAGCCCCTGCTTCGCATCTTCGAGCCCATCCTGGGCGAGGGCCGCGCTGAGGCCGTACTGCTGCGTACGAGGGCGCAGGCGTGGGTGGGCGGGTGGGGGGCTGGCTGGCCCAGGGCGCAGGGCCCACCGTCCCCCTCTCCCGCAGGAGGCGACCATACTCGCTGCAAGACGGTGCTGACCGGCAAGGTGGGCGGCCTGCTGGCCTTCGCCAAGCGCCGCAGCTGCTGCATCGGCTGCCGCACGGTGCTCAGCCACCAGGGTGAGCGCCCCCCACCCGGGAGTTCCCCGGGGGAGTTCTCTCCCGCACACTCGCTCCCTTGTTCTCTGCCTGCAGGGACTTTCAGGGGCCGGGAGGGGCAGGGAAGGACTGGCCGGGCCCTGGTGACCCCTCCCGCCTCTGTGTGCACAGGAGCCGTGTGCGAGTTCTGTCAGTGCCGGGAGTCGGAGCTCTATCAGAAGGAGGTGAGGGCCCGCGGGGCTGGGAGCAGGGCTGGCGGGGAAGGTGGGGCACCCTGCTGAGTGAGCCCCACTGGCCCCCACTTCAGGTGTCACACCTGAACGCCCTGGAGGAGCGCTTCTCCCGCCTCTGGACTCAGTGCCAGCGCTGCCAGGGCAGCCTGCACGAAGATGTCATTTGTACCAGGTGGGCACCCAGGCCGCCCTCCTGGCTGGGCGGCCCCACAGACACACACCCTGTCCCCCTTCCCCCAGGGCGGGGCTGGGCTTTCCCCAGGGAACAGGTGGGCGGGGCTGGTTCCCACGCCAGGTGACAGGTGATATACGGCCCTGGTCTGGGCCTTAGCCTGGCACTTGCCGTTATCGGCTCCCCCAGCCCGCTGAGTAAACAGGCAGGGTGGCCGCAGGAGGGGGCAGGTGGGTGGCGGGCGGGGCCAAAGTCCTGGGAGCAGCGCCAGCCCGGCCCCCTCCTCCCGGGCGGGCTGCTGACCCGGCCTCCCCGCAGCCGGGACTGCCCCATCTTCTACATGCGCAAGAAGGTGCGGAAAGACCTGGAGGACCAAGAGCAGCTGCTGCGTCGCTTCGGCCCCCCAGGCCCCGAGGCCTGGTGACCCTGCTGCACCCCACCCCCGGACAGCAATAAAGTCTGCTCTTGGCTGCCTGTGCCCTGTGCTTTCCTGGGGGAGGGGCCCACGTTCCAGTGTTACAAGCCCAGGCCGGGCGCAGACCCAGACAGACCCAGGCCGTGGGCGAGGCTCTGCTGGACTTGAGAGCAGGCCTCCTCTTCCTCCCCGGGCCCTCGGACCCCACAGGCCGAGTCCACCTCACCTTTCGCTGTGGCCCTCTGGGGTCCCGAGTGGATAGCTTCATCCACAGCCCTCTACTGCCGGTGCACACACCAGGTGCCCTGCCCCAGCCCTCTCCCTCTGCCCTCAGGGTCCCTGGTGGCCACCCCCGTCCAGGTGCTAACCTGTTTCCTCCGGGGCATCCCCTGGCATAGCCAGGGGACCCCCCCCGACCATCCACACCCACATTAGTTTCCACAAGGGGGTCCTGGTAGCTAGCTGCTGACCCACGGCCACTCAGCAACCCTCAGCTGTCCCTGCAGGCCCCTCTCAGGCCTGCCTGCCTGCAAGCTCCAGGACCCCCTTACCTCACACACACCCCAGCACCCCTCCCGCTGCAGCAACCCTGGCCTGCCCTTCACTCTGCAGGGCCCCCCAAAACATCAGCTCCTCCCAAACGCAAATGCCCCCCCAGTTGTGGGGATCCCCAAATCCAGACAGCCCTGGGGCCCCGCCCTCTACCACGTGACCCAGGGGTTGTGCAATCCAGCCCCCTCCCCGAGGGGATTTTTGGGGAGGGCCCAGCGCTCTGCACCCCGGGGGCTGGGCCAAGGTATATATAGGGGTGGCAGCCACAGCCCACAGCAAGCCCAGCCCAGCCGGCACCATGCTCGCCCTGGAGGCCGCACAGTAAGTGCCCCCCACGTACCACCCCTGAGCCACAGGGCGGGAGGGGAGGGTCTGCGCAGGCTGTGCCCCTCTGGGTTGGAGTCCTGGGACACCTGCAGCTCCTGGCCGCTGTCTCTCTGCTTCCTCCTGGGATGGGCAGCTGTGACACCGCACCTGTTGCTTCATCCTGCTGGGCCTCCCTCTGCCTCTGTCTCCCCGCTTCTCACTCCTTGTCTCTCCATGTCTGAGAGCCCCTGCACCTCCATCTCCACCCTTGGAGCTCCTCCCTGCCCTTACCTTAGACACTGTCTTCCCGCCCCAGTGGACCCATTTAACCAATTGGTTCACTGAGGCTGTGCTCTCACTTGCCGCCCCCACCGGCTGCCGGGTGCCCACATCTCTCTGGGGACTTTCTCTCCCTCACTTTCCCTGCCCCCGCCCCCACCCTCTGTCTATGCAAATCCCAGGGAGGGGGAACATTTGCCTGACCCCCACTTCCTGTCCCACTGGGGGAAGCAGTGAGGATTGGACACAGCAGCCCTTGGCTGGCAGTCGGGGTCGCACCGCACAGCTTGCTGCCCCCAGGCCCCCTCCCCCGGCTTTGACATGCCCCTGTCTCTCTCCCCCACCAGGCTGGATGGGCCACACTTCAGCTGTCTGGTGAGTCCGGAGGGGGGAGTGAAGGGAGCTAGGAGCTAGCTGCACCTGCCTGCCTCAGTTTCCCCTGCCTGTCGCTGTGTCTTTTCTGGACTCCAGTCTTCCCTCGGCCATCCCCTGGCTGCCTGCCTTCTCATGCCTGAAGCTCTGGGGCTGTGTGTGTGTGCGTGTGTGTCTGCGTCCACTCCAGCCCACTTCTCCACCACCCCTGGAACCCACAAGCTAGCCCGAGAGAGGAACCCTTCTTGATGTGGTTCAAAGGAGCCCTCCCTGCGTGTGTGGGCGCGCGTGCTTCATTGAAGTTTAACCCGTGAGTCACTTGAGGCTGCACCGTGCTGCTCCAAGCTTTCCCGTTAGGCTCGGGCGGTCCAGTGTCTTCCCAGCCACACTGCCGCCCCGCCCGGGCCCCACGTTCCCATTGTGGGGTGCCAGGGCACTTCTCTGCCAGGATGTTTGTGGAGGTGCTCTTCCCGTGGGGCCGTGCCCAGGAGAGCCCCTGGGTGGGGAGGGGTAGCCCTGCCTGTCCCCTCCCGTCCCCCCACCCCCGCCTAGCAGGTGGACAAGGGTGGGGTGAGCTCTCCCAAGCGCTTGGAGGCAGGGGCTGTGTGTCACTCCGAGTGGCGTGTGTCTCTGTTTGTCCATCCCACACTGAGTCTCCCCAAGGGCCCTAGGGTGACAGTGACACCTTCCCCTCCCCCCACAGTACCCCGAAGGCGTCTTCTATGACCTGGACAGCTGCAAGCACTCCGGCTGCCCCGACCCAGATGGGGTTCCTGGTGAGTGGCTCCTGCTCCTGACCTTGGGTCCACTTCAGAGTCTGGGGGGCAGGGTGGGGGAGGCAGAAACGGGCTGCAAGGGGGAGGGGGCTGCTTCCCTAACAGCAGGAAAAGGGCAGCCCAACCCCCAGCCTCCTTGCCTGTCTGCTGCCCCATGCAAATCCCGGGGTCAGAGATTTGCACAGCTCACAATGGCCCTGTGTGCTGGGGGCTGCGGGTGAGAGCGGGCGTCTGACCCAGGGCCCCCACCCCTTCCCTAGACTCCCTGTGGGGCTGGGCTGAGGCCCCGCAGCCCGTGTCCGCCGTGCCCTACGAAGCCTTCGACCCAGCAGCAGCAGCCACCTTCAGCCATCCCCAGGCCGTGCAGCTGTGCTATGCACCGTCCCCCTCCAGCTACAGCCCCGCAGGGAGCCTCGAACCGGCCCCCAGCCTCGAGGGGCCCGGCCTCCCCGCCTATCCCACCTCAGAAGACTTCCCTGGGCAGGTGAGGGGCTCGCCCTGGGGTCCCCCTGATTTCTACCCGCGGCAGGGGGCTGGGTGGCGAGGAGGAAGTGGAGGGGGAGCTGACAGAGGACGCTGGCTCAGACAGGCGCCCCTGACCTTCTTCCCCAGACTCTGGGCCCCCCGGCGTTTGCCCCGTACCCCAGCCCAGTGCTGTCGGAGGAGGAGGACCTGCTGCTGGACAGCCCAGCCCTCGAGGTTTCCGACAGCGAGGCGGACGAGGCCCTGCTGGCTGGCCCGGAGGGCAGGGGCTCCGAGGCAGGTGGGTGAGAGGCGGAGGGGGCACAGGAGGGGTGGCTCGCGAGGGTCCCCCTTCCACGGGCCTGACGCCCCACTCCTGCACCTCAGGGGCCCGCAAGAAGCTGCGCCTGTACCAGTTCCTGCTGGGGCTGCTGACGCGCGGGGACATGCGCGAGTGTGTGTGGTGGGTAGAGCCGGGCGCCGGAGTCTTCCAGTTCTCGTCCAAGTACAAGGAGCTGCTGGCGCGCCGCTGGGGCCAGCAGAAGGGCAACCGCAAGCGCATGACCTACCAGAAGCTGGCGCGGGCGCTGCGCAACTACGCCAAGACCGGCGAGATCCGCAAGGTCAAGCGCAAGCTCACCTACCAGTTCGACAGCGCGCTGCTCCCCGGCGCGCGCCGCGCCTGAGCCCGGGCCCCCCAGGCTGCGCCCTGGCACCCCCACATTGGGGGCGGGGGACCGCCGCCCCGCTCAGGGTCCCTGCGGCACTCCCTAGTCAGGCACAGGGTCCTCGGATCCGAAGAACTTCTAGAGGATCACCCCCCTTCCCCGTGAGGCCGGAGACCCCCGCCCCGCTGCTAGACAGGGGGACCCCCTCAGTCTCCTCTGCGGTTGGGGGACTCCATGGGGTCGCAACATGAGGGGGCCCTGCGGCGGGGGCGTCCTGGCCTCAGTGCTGTGTGAGCCGTGGCTCTCGGGGTCACGGGGGGCGCGCTCCTCACTCCTGCCCGCCGACGCCCCCTCGGCACGTCAGAGCCCCCCACTCCTCCGGAAGCGTCCAGCAGGCCTCTTGTCCGGGTCTCCTCACAGCCAAGGCCCTCTGAGCTTTCGTCTGAAGTCGCAGGGCTGAGCCCTGGTGGGAGTGGAAGGGACTTGCATTGGGGGTACCCCTGCTTTGGGGGGTACTCTGGCATCCCACAGCCACATGGAAGGCGCCCTAGCACCCCAAACAATGAGGCCACATCAGGACCCCCTCAGCAGCGCTGAGTTCTCCTGGGGATCATAACCTTCTTGGGGTGCCCCCCCTACAGCCCACCACCCCCACCCAGAGACCGGGCAGGCCCTGGGGGGAGGGCAGGGACCTGACACCCCCACACCACGCGGGGAGACTGGCTTGCTGGGACAGGGGACAGGCTGCAGCGGCAGCAGGAATAAACCTCACCCCTGCACGGCCTGAGGGGAGGCGGGACATCCAACTGTGGAGTCCAGGTGGGCTGGGGGTCCAGGGTGGACAGAAACCCAGAGCCCGGTCTACCCTCTGAGAAACGGGAGACGCCAAGGAGGGAGACCGCAAAGGCCCTGGCCCCACTCCCCAGTGCAGCTACCCGCCCCCCAAATCCACTGCAGGGATGACCAGGACCAGGGGGCAGGGGTGGAGAGGGAGGGCCGTGCGCACAGAGGTGTCCCCTCCAACGAAGGTACTAATTTCCCAAGCGCCCACTGTCACCCTCTATCTGAAATAAACCAAAACACGAGAAACCCGCGCGACAGGCATCCTGTGGTGGGGGGCTTGCTGGGGAGCGAGACCTGCCCCCTCCAGGGCGCTGGGCTCTGACAGGGACGCCAGGCTGGCCCGCGGTGCCGCGCGTGGCCCCAGGAGTCCCGGCCAGTGCCAGCTCCCCCGACCTCCTCCCTGCCCGGCTGTCCGAGCCCCCGACGACCCCTGCCCGTTCTCGGCCCCTCGCGGCGCGCACCGGCCGCGCGCGGCAGTCTGCCCGGCAACGCGTGACGTTCCGGAGACGCTGCCTTCGGGTTGGCCGGCCGCTCCACGGAGGCAGGCAGATTTCCGGCTCGTAGGGGGTTTTGGGAAAAGGGAGACGGGGCGTCGGGGTCGGTCGCGACGGGTTAGCTCTCTGGCTGTCGGCCTGCGGCCCCCCGGGTCCCCCACACCCTTCTCGCCTCTGCAGCCCGGTCCCGCCGAGCCCCCCGCTTCCTTCCCCTCGCCCCACGCCGCCTGCAGCCGCGGGTCCCCCCGCCGGGAAGGGCGCCAAGGCCGGGCAGCCCTCCAGGGCCTTCCCAGCCTCCCCGTCCGCACTCCCAACCCCACGTCCGGTGTCCGCCGCGCCCGCTCCGGGAACAGTGCCGGGAGGCGGCGGGCCCCATGCCCTGGAGCGCCGACTCCGGGGGCCGCGAGCCTCCGCCGCCCGCTCTGCGCTGGGAAACCGGACCTTCCCTCTGGGCTCTGGTTTCCCGAAAACTCCTGACTTGCAGATACTAAGTATGGCTCGCGGGACTTGGCCTTCGCCCGGCCCTGGCGCTCAGCTCTCACCCACTTTAGACCCCTTCTGGCCGCTGCTAGCTCAAGCTCTGCTTCCCTCACACCCAGGGGTCCAACCCCTCCTCCCTCACACCCAGGGGTCCAACCCCTCCTCCCTCACACCCAGGGGTCCAGCCCAGACCCTCCTCCCTCACACCCAGGGGTCCAGCCCAGCCCCTCCTCCCTCACTCCCAGGGGCCCAGCCCCTCCTGCCTCACCCCAGGGGTCCAGCCCCTCCTCCCTCACACCCAGGGGTCCAGCCCAGCCCCTCCTCCCTCACACCCAGGGGTCCAGCCCCTCCTGCCTCACCCCAGGGGTCCAGCCCCTCCTCCCTCACCCAGGGGTCCAGCCCAGCCCCTCCTGCCTCAGACCCGGGTTTCTGGCCCCTCCTCCCCAGGATGCAGGTGTCTGTTCCTGTCCTCTGCCCCTCCTCCCTGGGGTGGCCGGCAGCCATCTGTCTGTCCAGCTGTTACTTTAGACTGTGCCATGGGAGGGGGTGGCCGAGGTGTGGGGGCCTCCTGGAGCCTCCTGGGAGTTTGAAGACTCCTTAAAGAGCCTGCCCCAGGGGCCGCTTGTCCTCCCTTGGAGCCAGCCGCATTGCAGGAGCAGGAGCCAGAGCTGCAGAGCCCGGAGAGTGGGCAACATGCCTGAGGCAAAACCAGGTGCCAGTGCACCCCTCCTGAGAGTGGGGGGCTCTGTGTGGGTCTGTGGGAAGGGGCTCCATCTCTGCGTGGGGGTGGGAGTGTCTGGTTGGAACTCAACGCGTTTCTCCATGGGCATGGCGGTAGGGTGGGGTGGTGACTGTGGAGATGGTGTGTGGAGGTCGGGGTGGTGCCACCCCTGTGACCAAGGACTGGTCCCTTTCCCTGGAGGACTTCCCAGGTCTCCATCCCAGCCTTCCCATCTGTGCAGGGACTGTCTTCTACAGGAAGCAGGGGTGTCGCTGGGTGGGACATGGGGTTCCAAGGCTCTCTCCATACTGGGGCCAGGAACCTTCACATGCAGCTAGGGGGCTGTGATCCCCCTGAGGGCAGGAGCACCACCTCCCCCAAGGGTCCAGGCAGTCTGCACACTGGTTTCCAGCCTCCACCAGCTCCCCTTCCCCTAGGGTTCTGTGGGGTGGAGGCCCCAGCCAGCAGGCAGGGCAGGTGAAGGATGCTGTGGTCAGCAGGTGTCCAATTTCCAACCCCTGGGGGAAAGCTAATTATACCCCCAGAACCCAGAAGGTCAGGGCCTGGTGGCCTGAGGGAAACCTGACCCACCGACTCTCATGATTAGAGGTAAATTTATACCCTGGGCTGGGGGCCTGAGCGAGCTGTGGGCCGGGGGCACGGGGGCTGGAGCGCCAGGACGCTGGGTCTGACGGAGAAGGATGGGACTGCCATCCCACAGCTATGACTGATGCCTCCCTCCCGCACAGCGGCCAAGAAGGCACCAAAAGGCAAGGATGCCCCCAAGGAGGAGCCCCCCAAAGAGGCTCCTGCAGAGCCCCCCAAAGGTGAGGTGATGCTTCTTGTCGTCCGTGTCCTGTCCCCCTTCAGCCTCCTTGGCCCAGCCCCACCAGCGCCCGGCTGGCTTGCTCCCCCTGCTGGACCCCTGGGTGCGAGGCCCAACCCCACCAACGCCCGGCTGGCCTGCCCCTCACTTACTCTCCTTATCATGGCTCTCAGGGCCCAGCACCTGAGCCTGGTGTCCTGCTGCTGCCCCCTGGCGAGTCTGTCACTGCCAGCCAGGGCAGCCCTAAGGACTGGGAGAGCCTGGCCCAGAGCACCGCTGAGCAACACGCGTTTTTTTTTTTTTTTTTTCCAACACCAGGACAAACTGTTTCTGGTCACTTAGGAGGTGGTCCCTCCCTGGCTCTGAGTCCCTTCCCCAGAGCGTCTCCCTTGGCAGCTTGTCACAGACTTCCCATCCTATCTCCCAACAGAAGCCCCGCCGGAGGACCAGTCCCCCACTGCCGAGGAGCCCACTGGAATTTTCCTGAAGAAGCCAGACACTGTATCAGTGGAGACTGGTAAGGGGTCTGAGGAGAAGGGGCTGAAACCCTAAGTGTGAGGGAGGAGGGCTGGGCTGGACCCCTGGGTGTGAGGGAGGAGGGGCTGGACCCCTGGGTGTGAGGGAGGAGGGCTGGGCTGGACCCCTGGGTGTGAGGGAGGAGGAGCTGGGCTGGACCCCTGGGTGTGAGGGAGGGGCTGGGCTGGACCCGTGGGTGTGAGGGAGGAGGGTCTGGGCTGGACCCCTGGGTGTGAGGGAGGAGGGGCTGGACCCCTGGGTGTGAGGGAGGAGGGGCTGGCCCCCTGGGTGTGAGGGAGGAGGGGCTGGGCTGGACCCCTGGGTGTGAGGGAGGAGGGGCTGGGCTGGACCCCTGGGTGTGAGGGAGGAGGGCTGGGCTGGACCCCTGGGTGTGAGGGAGGAAGGCTGGACCCCAGGCAGTCTCAGAATTCCTGATGGGCGCCCCCTCCTGGCCTCCCAGGAAATGACGTGGTGATTGTGGCAAAGCTGAATGGGAAGGAGCTCCCGGCTAAACCGACCGTCAAGTGGTTCAAAGGGAAGTGGCTGGAGCTGGGCAGCAAGAGCGGAGCCCGGTTCTCCTTCAAAGAATCTCACGATGCAGCCAGCAATGTAAGGCTTGCGGGATGAGACAGGGTTGTGTGTCTGGCAGGTAGGGGCAGGCTGCCCCTGGTGTCGAGGCTGTGAAGGAAAGCCCTGTGCAGTGGGGGACCCTGTGGACAGTGAGAGGGCAAGGACCAGGGGGCTGGGCGGGATGGCTGGGGTCACCTTCACGTTCACCCACTGCCCCTGTTCCCACCTCCAGGTTTACACGGTCGAACTGCACATTGGGAAGGTGGTCCTGGGGGACCGTGGCGATTACCGTCTGGAGATTAAGGCCAAGGACCTGTGTGACAGCTGCCCATTCAACATCGACGTGGAGGGTGCGCGGGCCAGCGCAGGGGCGAAGAAGGGGCGAGCTAGGGCTTCCAGACCCAGGGAGTGGAGCCCTGGGGCAGGAGGCAGTGTAGGCTTGTGGCGATGGTGTGTGCGCAGTCTTAGCAGGTGTGTTAGGGAGTGTTAGGGAGACCCCAGCTTTGAGGAAATCAGAGGGAAGGAAGGATGTGCAGGCTTGGATCTGCAGCCGGAAGTGGCTGTGGAGGCCCAAGAGGGGCGCGAGGGAGACCGGCCTGAACCAGACTGGGAGCAGGGGCTGTACCGGCCTCAGGGAGAGGGTGGCCTTGGGGAGAGGGTGGCCTTGGGGAGAGGGTGGCCTTGGGGAGAGGGTGCGGGACTCACCTTCCTGTCCCCGCCATCCCTCCCCAGCACCCCGTCACGACACCTCTGCCGGAAGTCTGGAAAGCTTCAAGCGCTCGTAAGTGGGCCCAGTCCCTCCCCCAGCAGGGGCATCCTGGGGTCTGCTGGGTGGGGGGTGGGGGGAGGGAGGCTTGGGAAGAGCACTGCAGGCTGACCCCAGGGGCTGGACCTGCACGGGGCCCACATGCCTTTTCTGGCCGCAGGGGAGAAGGGAAATCGGAGGACGCGGGCGAGCTGGACTTCAGCGGCCTGCTGAAGAAGAGGTGAGGCTTCTGCCTGTGGTGCAGAGCGGACGGCGGGGCCTGGGGCGAAGGGGGAAGCACCATGACCCAGACCCATTGCCTTCCTCGCCACCCCTGGACTCCCTGCTCATCCCTGCGCCCCCTCCGTCTCCTCCCTCTATGCCCCCAATGATTATATATATAGGGGACCCCACATACACACACCCCAGCCCATCTTGCACTCTCTGCCTACTTGTCTGCTGCACCATCATCCATGCCCCAGCCAGCCAGACACCTGCTCCCCACCCCTTCTTACCCCGTCCCCATCACCTTCACACCCATTCTCCTCTGCACAGGGCCCTGGTCCTCCTATATCCATCCACCCTGTCCCCCTCATCCATCCCACCTGCCCACCCCCCTTCTTCCTTCCTCTGCCGCCCTCACTAAGCCCCCCTGCACTGCCCACCCTCCAAGGCATGTTCTGCCTGCCTCCACCAACCACACACACTCTCTCACACGTGCCTCTCCGTCTACTTGAGCCTTCCAGTGTAACCCGCATCCCATTGTGTGCAGGGGCCTGAGCACATGAGCCATCCTCTGCTGCTTAGCAGGATTGAAAGAGGTGCAGCTGGGACTCCAGCTAATGCCCATGTAGGAGCTGGTGCCACAGGCCACACTGCCAGCCTCACTGCATTTTCAAATGGCATCATCACTTTGTCTCTGGGCAGCTGACTACCACCTTATCCAGCTGCCTGCCTACCCGCTCCCTCCCAGCCCGGTCTCACCCAGGCTGGCCACCCCTCGCCACATCCCTCCACTGTCCGTCAGCTCACTCTCCCCGTGCTCCGGACAGGAGACCCCCCCATGCCTCCCTTCACGCCCTTGCCCATCATCACACGCCTCCTGCACAGTCCCACCCACAGTCCCACCCACCAGGCTCTGAGCCAGCACTCAGGGGAGAGTGGGCAGTTTGGCAGCTTCCATGATGTTGAGCCACTACGTGCCCTGGGAAGATGGGTCTGGTGCAGTAGACGTGGGCACAGGGGGAGACTGTCTGATGTGACCAAAGAAAGGAGCAGGGAGACATTCTATGCCCAGGCTGGGCATCTGGGAACAGGGCTGCAGGGGCCGAGTTAGGAGATGTTGGGTGGGGGTGGGGGCTCCTCCCAAAGCAGCACGGAGTCAGGGAGAAGTCATGGGGGTTGGATTTGAGAGAGCCCAGGGTGGCGTTGGGGGCCTGGTGAGGCGAGAGCTGGGGGTGAGACTGCACGGCACAGAACTAGGGCCCAGAGAGGGAGCGAGATGTCCTGGTCACACAGCATGCGAGCAGGGGCAGCCAGAGAGACCCTGACCTCCTCCCTCTCTCGGTGTCTCTCTCCCTGCCTCTCCGTCTCTCCCCATCTCTCTCTGCCTCTCTCTGTCTCCTCTCCGTCTCGGCCACCAGGGAGGTGGTGGAGGAGGAGGAGAAGAAGAAGAAGAAGAAGGACGAGGACGACCTGGGCATCCCCCCGGAGATCTGGGAGCTCCTGAAGGGGGCCAAGAAGAGCGAGTACGAGAAGATCGCCTTCCAGTACGGCATCACCGACCTGCGGGGCATGCTCAAGCGCCTCAAGAAGGCCAAGGTGGAGGTCAAGAAGAGTGCAGGTCAGCCGGAGGAGGAGCCGTGCGGCGTTGGGGCAGGGGGGAGGAGTGAGCCCAGGGTGTACGGGGGTCCCCAGCCGCCACCGTGTGTCTGCCCTGCAGCCTTTACCAAGAAGCTGGACCCGGCCTACCAGGTGGACCGCGGTAACAAGATCAAGCTGGTGGTGGAGATCAGCGACCCTGACCTGCCTCTCAAGTGGTTCAAGAACGGCCAGGAGATCAAGCCGGGCAGCAAGTGCGCACGCTCTGGGTGACAGGAAGCGGGGAGGAGGGGTACCCGGAGCAAGCCGCCTCTCAGAGTTGGCAATGATGCGTTCAAGTGGGCGCCACTGTCCCCTCTGGCTGGCCCAGCCGCAGAGGAGGCTGGGAAATGTGGCTCTGCAGGTGGGAGGCAGTGGGCGCTGGAAGGGATGGGTGTGGCTGCCGGGGGCTCCCCCTGGCCGCCGTCCCCGGCCCCCTGGCCGCTCTCCCTGGCCCCCTGGTCCCCTGGCCACTGTCCCTGGCCCCCTGGCCACCGTCCCTGGCCCCCTGGCCGCTGTCCCCGGCCCCAGGCACCGCTGTCCCTGGTCCCCTGGCCACCGTCCCTGGCCCCCTGGCCGCCGTCCCCGGCCCCAGGCTGAGGGGAGGCCTCTGCACCCAGGTATGTGTTTGAGAACGTGGGCAAGAAGCGCATTCTCACCATCAACAAGTGCACGCTGGCGGACGACGCGGCCTACGAGGTGGTGGTCAACGACGAGAAGTGCTTCACGGAGCTCTTTGTCAAAGGTGAGGTGGGGGGGCGCCTGCGAGGGCGGCCCGGCCCCCTGGGCCCCCAGCCCTGACCTCCCGCCTGCCCGCAGAGCCGCCTGTCCTGATCGTCACGCCCCTCGAGGACCAGCAGGTGTTTGTGGGCGACCGAGTGGAAATGTCGGTCGAGGTGTCGGAGGAGGGTGCTCAGGTCATGTGGTGAGTGTCGGGGCGGCTGGCCACGCTTCGGTGTGCCCGCTTAGCCCACCGTCGTCTTACCCCGGCCGTGCGCCTCTGGCTGCTGGCCTGTCCCTCTGTGCGGCCTCCTAGCATGCACTTACTGGCAAGTTTTGTGTTGCTGTACTTGTCTACACGCCAGGGAGGGGGAAATTGGACACGGGGCCTGCTTCCATGGCATTGTTTGTCATTTTGTTTGTTGTGTTTAAAGATGTATGTAGAACCAGACCTTGTCCTAACAGACGCACGTGAGCCCCAGAGGGTTTAAAGGGGCAGTTACGGGTGTTGGGTCAACTTTTCCACAGGGAGGGACTGGAGGGCAGGGAGAGCTGCCTGGAGGAGGAGCCAGGGTAGCAGGGCACGTCCCTGGAAGGGGGCACCATCAGCAAGGCTGCGTATTGAGCATCCCTGCCCGGCCCAGGATGAAGGATGAAGTGGAACTGACACGAGAGGACTCCTATAAATCCCGCTACCGCTTCAAGAAGGACGGCAAACGTCACATACTCATCTACTCGGACGTGACTAAGGAAGATGGGGGGCGCTACCGGGTCATGACCAACGGTGGCCAGTGTGAGGCCGACCTCATCGTGGAAGGTGCAGGGCTGTCCTGTGTGTCCCTCCTGTCCTCTGCTTGCGTGCACAGCCCAACCCTGTGGGCATCGCCTCCACCTGCCTCCTCTGCCCGCTGGCTTGCTGGCCCCTTGGAGCCACCAGCCTGCCACACTTCTCAGGTCCTTGCACACTCCTGGGAACCCCCCCCCCCCGCTCTACTGCTTTGGGTTTGGAGTTTCTGGGGTGTCCTGGGCACCATGGTCCCATCCACTCCCCTCCCCATGCAGAGAAACAGCTGGAGGTGCTGCAGGACATCGCGGACCTGACGGTCAAGGCCTCAGAGCAGGCTGTGTTCAAGTGCGAGGTGTCTGATGAGAAGGTGACGGGCAAGTGGTACAAGAACGGGGTGGAGGTGCGGCCCAGCAAGAGGATCACCATTTCCCACGTGGGGAGGTGAGTGGGTGCCCGGGGCCGCCAAGGGGCATGGCCACCACGAGAGCCTCCCGTGGCTGAGGCCGTGCCACCAGTGTCCCCTCTTTGAGGGGGAGACCGCAGGGTGGTAGATGCCTGAGCCGTGGGGGACGCTGCCGGGGCGCAGACATGGGGAGGGCCTCTCTCTGGCCGTCCATCTCTGGGAGGGGCAGCTGGGGAAAGCAGCGGAGGGCGGTACCTGCTAAGATGGGCAGCCACCTCCATGCTCTTCCCTGTGTGCCACCTGACCATCGTGGCCGGGAGTATTGTATGCGCCATGTTGGGGACACCCAATGCTGGTGTGCAGGGGTGGGAGAGTTGGGGGACCACACGCTGACGGGTGCTTATGTGTGTGCGTAGGCAACCTGGATGCCCCTGAGGCCTGCTGTTAGCCGTACCCCAGTCTCCCAGATGAGCAGGCCATGAGATCACTCATTGGCCCTGGGTCACTCCACCAGCAGGCAGTTGGGTCCTAGGGAGTCGCAGCCCAAAGCCCTGAGTCCAAGAGGGCGAGGTCGGGTGCTGGGAGGGGAGCAGCTCTGTGCCGACCCTGCCGCCCACACTTCAGGTTCCACAAGCTGGTGATTGATGACGTCCGGCCTGAGGATGAGGGGGACTACACCTTCGTGCCTGACGGCTATGCCCTATCCCTCTCGGCTAAGCTCAACTTCCTGGGTGAGGACGCCCTCCGTCTCATGGGGGCCACAGTGTGGGCGAAGCCCAAGAACAGAGGGTGGCAGCTGGTCCCTGTGGGGAGGGGTGGCCCCAGCTTGGAGCTCACACCAGCACCCCCATTCCCAGTTCCTAGCTAGGGAACGAGCTTGGCAGAACCTTGTTGGGAGGTGGGGATGAGGGGACCTAACTGAAAGTGTGCTTGCCTTCTAGAAATCAAGGTGGAGTACGTGCCCAAGCAAGGTAGGTGCTGCTGGGCTGGACCCCTGGGAGTGAGGGAGGAGGGGCTGGGCTGGACCCCTGGGTGTGAGGGAGGAGGGGCTGGGCTGGACCCCTGGGAGTGAGGGAGGAGGGGCTGGGCTGGAGCCCTGGGTGTGAGGGAGGAGGGGCTGGGCTGGACCCCTGGGAGTGAGGGAGGAGGGGCTGGAGCCCTGGGTGTGAGGGAGGAGGGGCTGGACCCCTGGGAGTGAGGGAGGAGGGGCTGGAGCCCTGGGTGTGAGGGAGGAGGGGCTGGAGCCCTGGGAGTGAGGGAGGAGGGGCTGGGCTGGACCCCTGGGTGTGAGGGAGGAGGGGCTGGAGCCCTGGGAGTGAGGGAGGAGGGGCTGGGCTGGACCCCTGGGTGTGAGGGAGGAGGGGCTGGGCTGGACCCCTGGGTGTGAGGGAGGAGGTCTGGGCTGGACCCCTGGGTGTGAGGGGACAGGATGCCCAGGCCTGTATTGCTGCTGGAACTGTCTTTTTGGCAGATGCTGTTGTCAGAGCTGGGAGGACCCAGTTACTCACCCCCATGTCCTCTCCTGTCCCCTCTGCCACCAGAGCCACCCAAGATCCACCTGGACTGTTCCGGGAAGACCTCAGATAATTCCATCGTTGTTGTGGCCGGCAACAAGCTGAGGCTGGACGTGTCCATCACAGGGGAGCCCCCTCCCGTTGCCACCTGGCTGAAGGGCGATGAGGTGACCCATGCTTTGCTTTCGCTTGACAGTTCTGTCCGTCTGCCCATCCGCTGGCGCCCCTCCACTGCCCTGTTCCTGCCAGTCAGCCTGTAATGCAGCCATCATCGGCGACTCACCCCGCCCCCAACACTAACCCCTTTATCCATCCGTCACTTACCCACACGCCCATATATTCACCAGCCAGTATTATTCATCTGTCTTTTCAGAAACCCACCTCCCCACCCCTCCATCAGATACTCTCCTGGGCTTGCCCAAGCCCTGGGACAAGCCTCGGTTCAGGGTTTATCCCTGCACACTGCCAGCGGCAGCCCCTGGGTGGGTGGGCAGAGGCGGCCAGGGCTCGGGCGCGGTCCTCCAGCATGCCCCTCTGGCCGTGACTGTCCAGGTGTTCGCGAGCACCGAGGGCAGGGTCCGTGTCGAGCAGCGCGCCGACTGCAGCAGCTTTGTCATTGAGAGCGCGGAGCGGGCTGACGAGGGCCGCTACACCATCAAGGTCACCAACCCAGCCGGCGAGGACGTGGCCTCCATCTTTCTGCGGGTTGTGGGTGCGCAGGGAGATGGGGGCGCTGGGGCAGGAGCTGGCCCCCGAGGCCACAAGGGGCCGCCTGACTCTCCTCCTGCTCCCCTCCCTCTCCCACAGATGTTCCAGATCCCCCGGAGGCTGTGCGTGTCACCTCCGTCGGAGAGGACTGGGCCATTCTTGTATGGGAACCCCCCAAGTATGATGGGGGGCAGCCGGTCACTGGTGAGTGCGGACACCAGACACCCTGACTTCTGCTTGGGTCAGCCATGATTTCTTGACCCCCACTTCCAACCTGGAGGCCTCGCACTCCCCACACCCCTGGCATCTCGCCTTGGCCAGGGCCCCACTTCCATACTGGAAGCCTGGCAACTCCCCAGTCCTGCCTGGTACCCCACACCCCTGGCGTCTCACCTTGGTCGGGCCCTGGGATTTCCTGCAGCCTGAGCCCGAGACTGGCAGCTGTTCAGTGCCACCTGAGCCCTCGGACCCTGTAGCGCGGTGGTGGCCGTTATGGGGCGGGCGTGACCCATGCTCCTGCTCGGGGGCCCCCAGGTTACCTTCTAGAACGCAAGAAAAAGGGTTCCCAGCGCTGGATGAAGCTCAACTTCGAGGTCTTCACGGAGACCACGTACGAGTCCACCAAGATGATCGAGGGCGTCCTCTACGAAATGCGTGTCTTCGCGGTCAATGCCATCGGGGTCTCCCAGCCCAGCATGAACACCAAGCCCTTCATGCCCATCGGTAATGGCCTCACCCGCCCACACTCCACCTCCCTGACCTCTGACGCCCAGCCTCGGGCACCTATGGGACTTGGCTATCCTTCCGTTCGTGGCTTCAGCACCCCATGCTGCTGCGTCCTGGCTCGGGGAGCGCGTCCTGGCCAGGGAGCAACACCACCTTTCCCTTGATGCTCCTAGCGCCCACCAGTGCGCCCCAGCACCTGACCGTGGAAGACGTGACCGACACCACCACCACGCTCAAGTGGAGGCCCCCCGACAGGATCGGGGCGGGCGGCATCGACGGGTACCTGGTGGAGTACTGCGTGGAAGGCTGTGAGTGCTGGCCAAGTGCAAGTGGGCCGTGCAGGGAGAGCCGCATGGCACTGGCTGCCCGAGCTCGGTGTCTGCCAGGGCCACAGGGTCAGCCCAGTGACCGGCATGTCCTCTCTCCCTCCCGCCCCCGCATCTGGCCTGGGCACTGCAATGATGGTTCATCCTGCTCCCACCCACCCGTCCCTGTCCGCCTCCTTGCTGCTGCCCACTCACCCCCCACCAATGCTCTATTCACCCACCTGACCACCCACCCACCTGTACAATCCATCGTAGCCGGGACCATCTAGCTATCCATCCATCCAGAGACGTTTTCCATTCACATTTCTACATCTTCACCACCATCTTTCCTTCCCCGCTTCATCCACCCACACACCTTATGGTTAATTGTCCACCTGGATGTGTGTGTTGCCCGTCCACACCCTGACCCCTTCATTCTCCACTGAACCAACATTCATTCAGTGCCGACTGCCTGCGGGGCCCAGGGCCGCAGCCGTGGAGATGCCTCCGACCGGCCAGCTCACGGACCTGGGAGGACTCACGGACCACCTCGCCACCCTGGCCCCGGCCTCATGCTCAGGGAGGTGTAGGCTCCTGTGCTGTGCCCCTGCTGTCTAACCCTTTGACTGGCACCCGGGGCGAGTCTGAACAGCCACTCCTTCATCTTAGAGGGCGGAGGACTGGTGGCTTTCCGACAGGGTCAGTGGTCATGGCAGCGGGCGGTGCATGAGGCAGATGGGGTCGCATTCGTGTTCCCCTCCCCGACGCTGAGCTCGTGTGGCCTGCTCATCCCCAAACGGACAGTGTCTGGGAGGGGAGAATCCAGCAGCCACCGCACCTGTGCCCCCCTAGAGCCAGGTGCACCGGACAGTGGTCGCTGTGGCTGCAGGCCTGGCTCCCGCCCTGGGGTGGCCAGGGGCTGGGGAGCCCCCGCGAGGCCCCGTGTGGCTCCTCTCTCGCAGCCGAGGAGTGGATTCCTGCCAACAAGGAGCCCGTGGAACGCTGCGGCTTCACGGTCAAGGACCTCCCGACCGGGGCCAAGATCCTCTTCCGCGTCGTGGGGGTCAACATCGCCGGCCGGAGCGAGCCGGCCACCCTGGCCCAGCCAGTCACCATCCGGGAGATCGTGGGTGAGGGGCCCCCCACCGCGGCCTGGTCGCTGGACGTCCCTCGAGTGTCCCCGGCCCGGTGCAAAGCTCCTCCCTGTGTTTGCCCTCAGAGCAGCCCAAGATCCGCCTGCCCCGCCACCTCCGTCAGACCTACATCCGCAAAGTGGGGGAGCACCTCAACCTGGTCATCCCCTTCCAGGTGGGCGCTCGGGCCGGGGGTCGGGGCCGCCCCGCTGCGCAGGCTGGACCCTCCGTGACTGTTCCCCTCCCAGGGAAAGCCGCGGCCGCAGGTGGTGTGGACCAAGGGCGGGGCCCCCGTGGACACCTCCCGCGTGCACGTGCGGACCAGCGACTTCGACACGGTGTTCTTCGTGCGCCAGGCGGCGCGCTCCGACTCGGGCGAGTACGAGTTGTCGGTGCAAATCGAGAACATGAAGGACACGGCCACCATCCGCATCCGCGTCGTGGGTGCGTCGCGGGGGGCGGGACGCGGGACTGGAAGGCGGGCAGCTGCGTGGGATGGGAAGGCCTAGGCGGCGTTAGAGGCCCTCCCCCGGCCCCGGGTGGCGTGGGGGCGGCGCTGGACACCCCGGGACCGTTCCAGAAAAGGCAGGGCCAGCGGAGAACGTGATGGTGAAGGAGGTGTGGGGCACCAACGCGCTGGTGGAGTGGCAGCCGCCCAAAGACAACGGCAACAGCGAGATCACCGGCTACTTCGTGCAGAAAGCTGACAAGAAGACCATGGTGAGCGGGTGGGGTGCCCCGGGCCTGGGTGCGTGAGCGGGTGGGGTGGGGTGCCCGGGGTCTGGGTGCGTGAGCAGGTGGGGCGCCCCGGGCCTGGGTGCGTGAGTGGGTGGGGTGGGGTGCCCGGGCCTGGGTGCGTGAGCAGGTGGGGCGCCCCGGGCCTGGGTGTGTGAGCGGGTGGGGTGGGGTGCCCCAGGCCTGGGTGCGTGAGCGCGTGGGGCGCCTGGGTGCTGTGCCGGCTCCGAGCGCCCAGGCTGCCCCCGCAGGAGTGGTTCAACGTGTACGAGCACATCCGGCACACGAGCTGCACCGTGTCCGACCTCATCGTGGGCAACGAGTACTACTTCCGCGTCTACAGCGAGAACATCTGCGGCCTCAGCGACTCACCCGGGGTCTCCAAGAACACAGCACACATCCTCAAGACAGGTGGGCTGGGACTTGGCAGGTGGGCGGCCCTCGCAGCAGCGTTCCTGACCCCGACCCCCTCCCCCAGGTATCACCCTCAAGCTGCTCGAGTACAAGGAGCATGACTTCCGCATGGCACCCAAGTTCCTCACGCCACTCATCGACCGTGTGGTAGTGGCCGGCTACGCGGCCGCCCTCAACTGCGCTGTCCGCGGCCACCCCAAGGTGCGGGACCCTGCGGGCGGCCTGGAACCATTGTGACCACTGCTGGTGGCCTGCAACCCCTTGGCCCTGTGCTGCCCAGAACCTCAGTCCCTGGTGAACTGTGGGGTGGGCTCTGAGCACCCGGGTTTCCCGCGGGCCTGGATCCCCAGCCAGTGGCAGGGAAGCAGGCGGGCTTTGAGTCCGGCTCTGGCAGGCAGTGCCATGGGGGCTGAGGCCTGGAGGACACACAGGTGTCCGTGTGGACGCTGAGCAAGGGAGGCAGGGGGACCTACCCCCTACATGTGAGGGAGGGGCTGGAGACAGGGCTCAGGGAATGACCCAGCCAGCCAGGGACACGCAGGGCTCCTGCCCCGGGAAGGGCCGCTCATCCCAGCCGGGCCGCCCCTGCAGCCAAAGGTGGTCTGGATGAAGAACAAGATGGAGATCCACGAAGACCCCAAGTTCCTAATGACCAACCACCAGGGGGTGCTGACGCTCAACATCCGCCGGCCCTCGCCCTTCGACTCGGGAACCTACTCCTGCCGGGCCTTCAACGAGCTGGGCGAGGCGCTGGCCGAGTGCCGGCTGGATGTGCGGGGTGAGTGGGGGCCCAGCTGGGTAGATGACCACGTGGGAGGAAGACCCATACGGCCGGCCCAGTGCCCCCTCCTTCCCGGCCTCTCCTGATCCCGTGGTGGCCTCCATGCACAGCTGCCCACTGCTTGCTCACAGCCTGGGGTCCTCACACCTGCTCTACCTGCCCTGCCCCCTCCTCGCACTCCAGCTCAGCGTGGTGGCTTCCCGGGGGTGTCCCACACTTCCCAGGGAGCGCCTGGGTAGGTGTCCATCCTTCCCAACCCGTCCCACCACCCCCGGGGCTGGCCCACATGGAGGGTGCAGGTCTGAGGTCCACCTCCACCTCACCCTCTCCCTGCGTGACTCTGCCCTCCCCACTCCTCTCCACCTGACCCCATGCCTGCTCTCCCCCTGCAGTGCCACAGTGAGACCTCCCTGGGCCGTGAGTTGGTGTCTCTGAGTCAGCATCACTGCTGAGAATAAAAGCACACCCTCCCACTCCCTGTGTCTGTCCTTGCGCCTCGGCTCTGGCTCCCCCTCTCATAGGGGAGGCCACGGCAGGGCTATGGGGCCAGTGGGGGGCAGCAGTGACAGAGTGGACACAGCGAAGCCAGCATCTCCCAACGACTACTTTAAAGAGGCAGCCGCCGGGGGAGAAGGGATGCAGGCTGGTGCTGTAGCAACTCCAGGAGTCACAGGGGAGGGACGGTGTGAGGCAGGCATGCCGGGAAGGGTGCTCCACGCGGCTGTCCGACAGTCCCTGGGAAATCTCCAGGGTGGCCGGACTGTGAACTCTGATGTGGGCCCTGGGCAGCCCTGGCGTCAGGGGCCTCCGGCCCTGGTCCTTAGGTAACCCTGACCACACGGGATGTAGTCAGAGCCCCCAGAGCTCAGAAGTCTGAGGGTCCAGTATGGCCTCCTTGGCTGGGAGCTGGAAGAAGAGGGGGGTGTCTGTTTCAGGGGCAAAGCTGGGCTGGCGCTGCCCGGGAAACTGCAGGGAGAGGCTGGGGAGGGCAGGCCCCGGCCCACGCACCTGCCCGCACTCCTGGCAGGGCCCGTCCTCGTCCTCTTCGTCATCCCCCAGTGCCCAGGGGTCGTGTGTGAAGGGCACGGCGCCCTGGGCCTCGAAGAAGCGCAGGCGGTACAGCAACCGCACCCACTTGCCGAACTCGCGCTTGCGGGTCTCGGGCTGCGCACGCAGCTGCAGGTAGAAGGCGCGGCCCGTGCAGAACTTGACCTTGAGTTGCTGCCGCCTCTCATTGTGGATGAAGAGCTGGATGAACTGCAGGGGGGACAGTCTGGGCCGGGGGAGGGGCAGCCTCAGGTGCTGACACCTCCCCCTCCTTCCCCATCAGGAGCCATCCCTTCCGGGGTCTTCATTGCCTTTGGCTCTGTTCCTTAAACAAAAACAAACACAAAAATGGGAGCCCGGTGTGGTGGCCTAGTGGCTAAAGTCCTCGCCTTGCATCCTCCGGGATCCCATATGGGCAGCGGTTCGTATCCCAGCTGCTCCACTTCCCATCCAGCTCCCTGCCTGTGGCCTGGGAAAGCAGTGGAGGACGGCCCAAAGCCTTGGGACCCTGCACCCATGTGGGAGACTCAGAAGAGGCTCCTGGTTCCTGGCTTCAGATTGGCTCAGCTCCAGCCAATGTGGCCACTTGGGGGGGTGAGCCAGGCATGGAAGATCTTCTCTGTCCCTCATTCTCCCTGCAAGTCAGACTTTCCAATACAAAGAAATAAATCTTACATTTGTTTTGGAAGACAAAGTGAGAGAATCTGCTCTAGCTTCCATCCGCTGGCCCACTCCCCCAATGGCTGCGACCCGGGGTCCGAGCCGGGAGCTGCAGACCAGGCACGCGGCCAGCCTCTGCGCTCTGCCCAGTTCCAGCAGGGGTGGGGCTGAACCCGGGCGGAGCAGTGCGGGCCCTTCCTCTCCCAGGCCCGTCCATTTCCGGCCCTGTGGACCCCTTGGCTCCCGCCCAGCGCTGGTCGCGCTGAGGTCAGAGGTCGGAGGTCAGGCAGGGGCGGGACAATCACCGTAGGAGCTGCAGCTGTCCGTCTTCCTTGGCGGGGCCGGCCAGCAGCAGCAGGTCTGGGAGCTCCAAGGCCGGGCTGGACGCTGCCACCGCCATGGTCACCTTGTTGGCGACTTCTCCCGAGCGGGTCACCTGGGGACAGAGGTCAGAGGTTAAGGCAGGGTGCGAGGAGGGGGTGAGAGCTCAGGCACGGCGGGCCTCTGGGGGACGCGGGGCGAGCAGGGGCTGCCCGGGCGGGCGCTGGCGGGCGGGTCCCGGGCTCCACACCTGCAGGAAGTTGCTCTCAAAGATGGGCAAGTCGCGCAGCTGGTCGAACTCACCGCTCAGGAGGCAGCGCTGCAGCGGCCCGGGGCCGGCCCGTGGGGAAGGCGGCATCCAGGGGGCACTCTGCAGGGCAGGGGGTGGACCTCAGGGGCTGCAGCCGGACCCCCGGCCGCCGGCGCCGCATCCCTCCCCGCGCCCCCGCTCACCTGCTCCATCGAGGGCCGGCTTAGCCTCGAACCCCCGCTTCATCGCAACGCCCCCGCCCCTGGCGGGGCGCGGGAGGCGGGGCGCGGGAGGCGGAGCGCAGGAGGCGGAACGCAGGACGCGGAGCGCAAGCAGAGGCCGCACCGGAGGACAGAGGCTGCGCGCTCTGTGAGATCACAACCGGCGGTGACGTCACAGGGCCGCGCGCCGCCACAGGCGCGACGCGCAGGCGCTCCTCCCGGCGTGCTCCGCGCCCGGTCTGCGCGGACATGGCGGCGGCCGCGGGGACGACTCGGCTGCTCCTGCTCGTGCTGTGGGCGGCGGCGCCCAGCCGGGCCCGGGGCAACGGCTGCCGGGCCGGGAACGCCGCGCGCGGGGTGAGCGCTCCGCCAGCCGCGCGTCTCGGTGGGTGAGGCGGGAACCGGGCCAGGGGCGCGGGGCAGACGAGGCGGCGGCCAGGCCGCGCGTCCCCCGACGGGCCCAGCGCTTCCCGGAGGCCCGGCTCGGCAGTGTGCGGGCTGGGACGGTGCTCGGTGGTCGGGAGTGTGCGGGCTGCGACGGTGCTCGGTGGTCGGCAGTGTGCGGGCTGCGACGGTGTTCGGTGGTCGGGAGTGTGCGGGCTGGGATGGTGTTTGGTGCTCAGGACGGTGGTCAGGAATGTGCATGCTGGGACGGTGTTCGGTGGTCGGGAGTGTGCGGGCTGGGACGGTGTTCGGTGGTCGGGAGTGTGCATGCTGGGACGGTGTTCGGTGGTCGGCAGTGTGCGGGCTGGGACGGTGGTCGGCAGTGTGCGGGCTGGGACGGTGCTCGGTGGTCGGGAGTGTGCGGGCTGGGATGGTGTTCGGTGGTCGGGAGTGTGTGGGCTGGGACGGTGTTCGGTGGTCGGGAGTGTGTGGGCTGGGATGGTGTTCGGTGGTCGGGAGTGTGTGGGCTGGGACGGTGTTTGGTGGTCGGGAGTGTGTGGGCTGGGATGGTGTTCGGTGGTCGGGAGTGTGTGGGCTGGGACGGTGTTTGGTGGTCGGGAGTGTGTGGGCTGGGACGGTGTTCGGTGGTCGGCAGTGTGCGGGCTGGGACGGTGGTCGGCAGTGTGCGGGCTGGGACGGTGCTCGGTGGTCGGGAGTGTGCGGGCTGGGATGGTGTTCGGTGGTCGGGAGTGTGTGGGCTGGGACGGTGTTCGGTGGTCGGGAGTGTGTGGGCTGGGATGGTGTTCGGTGGTCGGGAGTGTGTGGGCTGGGACGGTGTTTGGTGGTCGGGAGTGTGTGGGCTGGGATGGTGTTCGGTGGTCGGGAGTGTGTGGGCTGGGACGGTGTTCGGTGGTCGGGAGTGTGTGGGCTGGGACGGTGTTTGGTGGTCGGGAGTGTGTGGGCTGGGACGGTGTTTGGTGGTCGGGAGTGTGTGGGCTGGGACGGTGTTCGGTGGTCGGGAGTGTGCATGCTGGGACGGTGTTTGGTGGTCGGGAGTGTGCATGCTGGCTCGGTGTTTGGTGGTCGGGAGTGTGCGGGCTGGGATGGTGTTCGGTGGTCGGGAGTGTGCGGGCTCGGGAGTGTGCATGCGGGGCTGGCGGTCATGATGCCACCGCAGTCTGCAGCAAGTTGGGGATGTATTTCCTGTGTGTGCATACATTGGTGTGTCCAGATCCGAGGGCCTGCGGCCTGGGCAGGTGCAGAAGGAGCTGGTGTGAAGGCTCCGAGTCAGGGCCCCCAGGTGAAGCTGCGCACCCTGGGGTTGGCAGGTCAAGCCAGGTCCTGGGTATCTGCGGCTGCAGTTCTCGGTGGAATGGGGACTGGGGTGTGTGTTGGGGGTCACTGTGTCCCTGTGGTGGTGACCCCCTCACCTGGACCCCTCTACCCTGTAGGTTGCTGCAGAAGGCCGCGAGGCCGAGGGCTGTGGCACGGTGGGCCTGCTGCTGGAGCACTCGTTTGAGATTGGTAAGGCCAGCAGGGACCTTGCTTGGATGAAGTCACCCTCTGCCCACTCTGCCAACAGTGTGCACCTGGCGAGGCCTGTGGGGACGCTGCCTTCCCGTGTTCCCGTGTGTCCACACGCACAGGCTCCAGTGGGTGCAGCGGTAATGCCTTCTGCACTCGAGGCGGGGTTTGGTTTGACGATTCCCCAAGAGGACACCCACTCTGTGCCAACTCCATCGTTGTTTAAAGATTTATTTATTTTTATAGGAAAGGCAGGTCAGATTTACAGAGAAGGGGAGACAGAGAAAGATCTTCCATCCACTGGTTCACTCCCCAAGCTCCACAGTGGCTGGAGCTGAGCTGATCTGGAGCCAGGAGCCTCTTCTGGGTCTCCCACGCAGATGCAGCATCCCAAGGCTTTGGGCCGTCCTCGACTGCTTTCCCAGGCCACAAGCAGGGAGCTGGATGGGAAGTGGAGTAGCCAGGACATGAACCCGTGCCCATATGGGATGCTGCCACTTGCAAGCGGAGAAGTAGTTTGCTGTGCCACAGTGCTGGCCTCAGCTCCTTTAAGTGAGCAGAGCAGGGCCTGGCTCCCGAACTTCCTGGGCTTAGGCATGGAGGCGGAGATCAGCACCCCGCTCTGTGGGAGCCCCTGGGTCTTGCTGGCCAGGGAGGCCGCAGGACACTCCTGGGTTGGGTGGGAGGATGGTGGCCAAGTCTGTCCCCTCCCCACAGGTGACAGTCCACACTTCCGGAAGCGTGGTTCCCTGCTCTGGAACCAGCAGGATGGCACATTGTCCCTGACCCAGCGGCAGCTCAGCGAGGAGGAGCGCGGCCGGCTGCGGGTGAGGGCCCCCCTGGCTGTGCCCCTGACCCCACCCCGTGCCCCATGACCCATTCTGGGGCAGCCCCAGGGTGGGCCCTGTCGCACCTGCCCGCCGGCCCACCCCAGTGGGGAGCAGTGCTGCTGTTGGGGCTCTGCGCCCTCACCTCCATCTGCCCTGCAGGATGTGGCTGCTGACAATGGGCTATACCGCGTGCGCGTCCCACGAAGGCCCGGGGCCACCGACGGCCTCGACGCTGCTGGTTACGTCTCCTCCTTCGTCCCAGCGGTGAGTGGGGGGACGGATCCTAGCCCCGTGGGCCCCTCTCCGGTCCTGGGTGCTGCGTGGGGCATCCTGGAGGGATCAGAAGGATGCTTGGGGTGTGGGAGGGACACACGGAGCGGGGCTGGGAGGCAGCGCCTGACCCTGCTCCACTGCAGTGCTCCCTGGTGGAGTCGCATCTCTCGGACCAGCTGACCCTGCACGTGGACGTGGTGGGCAACGTGGTGGGTGTGTCAGTGGTGACGCACCCTGGGGGCTGTCGCGGCCACGAGGTGGAGGACGTGGACCTGGAACTGTTCAACACCACGGTGCACCTGCGGCCGCCAGCCACGGCCCCGGGGTAGGAGGGCGAGGAGGGCGGGGTGTCGGGGCAGGAGGGCGCGGTGGGGCCTGCCCCGTCCCCAGCCCCCTCACCCAGTTCTTGCCCCCCAGCCCCGAGACGGCCGCCTTCATCGAGCGCCTGGAGATGGAGCAGGCGCAGAAGGCCCGGAACCCGCAGGAGCAGAAGTCCTTTCTGGCCCGATATGTGAGTGCGCTCGCGGGGGGCGGGCTGGGCGCGCCCCTTCCCGGTCCCCCAGGCGTCCACTGTGCCTCTCCCGCCCCGGCCAGCCCAGCCCGTGGGGGGTCGTAGGCAGCCAGGAGGGGCAGGCAGGGCAGGGCGCGGGCTCCCGTCCAGGCGGTGCCAGGGCAGCCGAGCCCCGCGGCTGACCCGCGTCCCTCCCTCCCTCAGTGGCACCTCATCCTGGGGGGGGCCGTGCTGCTCACGGCCCTGCGTCCCGCCGCCCCGGGGCCCGCTTCGCCGCCGCCGGAGGCCTGAGTGAGGAGCCCCGCCCGCCCGTAGCGCCCCAGGGGAGCCGGGGCGCCGCCCTCACCGCCCTCTCTCTCTCCCCGCCCGCCAGTGGATGTACATCATCCCCGTGGTCCTGTTCCTGGTGATGTCCGGAGCGCCTGACGCCGGGGCCCAGGGCGGAGGGGCGGCGGGGGGCGCGGGCAGCGGGCGCTGAGAAGGGCTTGGGCGCGCCTGGCTGCTCCTCCCTGGGCCCGGGATGGGGCCCTCCCTGCCGCCCGCCTCACCGCGCAGGGGCCACTCCCGGCCGGGCTGGCTGGGCTGCACTCCCGCCCCTGCCTGCTCTGCGGGGGAAGGGCTCCCGCCTGTCTGCAAGGAGAGTGGTACTTAAGGTAAATGAAATAAAGACATCTGGTGGAGCCTGGCCTGTCCGCGTGTCCGCCTCCCCAGGCACGGAGCGCCACCCCCCAGCTTAGGAGCCCCCGGAGCTCAGAAGTGGGCGCAGGGAGCACGACACTGGAAGGCAGGGACGGGCAGGCAGCTGCCCCGACGGGGCACAGGAGGTTCCGGGCCTGCCCCCGTGCCCACCCCGCCGGACCCTGGCACCTGCGTGCTGCTGCTCGTTCCCTCGTCGCTGGGCCTGGTTCTTTCCGGCAGCGTCCGGCGTGCAGGACAGGCAGGACAGGGTGGGGAGTGGGAGAGAACACGGTGTCACCGAGGCCTCTGCTCTGCCCAGCCTCCCGCCCTGGGACCGGAGCGGGATGGGGGCGGGGAGGAGCGTGGGCAGGGAGTGGGGGTCCCAGGGCAGGGACTCGGGCCTGGAGGATAGGGAATAGGGGAAGGGTTTCCCTGCGGCTCCCACAGACCCCAGCCTGTCGAAGGGAGGCTGATTCCTGGCAGTGGAGGACTGGGTCACCCTGGCCCCATGGGGCAGGGACTGCCACCCGGCTTCAGGCGTGGCAGCAGGGGGACCAGTGCTGCCCCCTGTCGGCTGCCGGGTCTGCAGGAATCCGAGAAAGGGCTGGGGCCTGGGTGACGGCTGAGGGCCGCGAGGAGTTCTTCCAGAAATGGAAAAAAGTTTACAAGGGGGAAGCTTTCAGGACCCGGCTGGGAATAAAGCCAGCAGAACCTGTGGGTTCCAGTCAGTGGGCAGGGGAGGGGGCAGAGTGAAGGGGCCGGAATCCAGGGAAGGCCCCCACCCCACAGACATGAGACAGCCAAACCAATTGGGCCCTGGCCCTCTGCGCGGCTGCCAACCGGGCAGCTAGTCTGACTTGGC